ACAGCGAGAAATTCGTCGGGTCAACGGTCGTGGCCGATATCAGGCGTGGCCGCTATGATCCTCTCGCAAGAGTGCCTCGGCAGTTGCAATCCTACGTCGAAGCAACTGGCGTCTCAGCAACGTGCATGCCTGCATGATTATTCCACGTGGGTAGAGGCAGCTTGCAACATTGAACGTGGATCAAACGCTTCCTCATCAAGCCAGGTCGACCCATGAGGCATGATCACCGGCTTTTCCAACGTGCTCCGTCCACAGCCTTGGCCGACACCAACCTCTCGGTACCTTACATTCCCGATAGACTGTTCTTCGGGTCGTCACAATACAATCCGAGATGCTGTAGAGAAACTCTCATTGACACGAGAACATTCATGTCGAACGCTTTGGATGTCACGGTGAACCACACCGGAACAGTGGCGCGTATCCGTCGTCATTGGCCATCCCACGTCACAGGTGCTCAACCACCTGATCTGATGTTTCGCTGGGCTGTTGGTACATGCTACTGAAACGGTAAATTCCGGTAGGCTGGGGCCCAGGAGAAGAAGTCATCGAGCACGATGGACGCCTAGAGACGAGCCTACGGTCCGCTTTGGACACAAAGCACCCGTTGCTTAGCTACCATAATCAGCAACAGGTGTGAAAGAGCAAGACACAAACGCAAGCGACAGTAGTCTCAACAACAGGAGTATCTCAACTCAGATATTCTAGGGTTCCGCTAAGATCCTGCCAAAATCTCGAGATTTTCATCAGCAAGCCAAACTGCCAAACAATGAATTCTCGTTATGCGAGTGCGTCAGGAATTGAGCCCAACGGGGGGCTCGAACCCCCAACCTTGAGATTAAGAGTCTCACGCTCTACCGATTGAGCTAGCCGGGCAGGCAGGTGGCTTGTTGATGGAGCCCAGGACTCGCGGTGGGACATATGTTGTGGGCATCGTGGGTCCACGAATGCTTTTCATCGCATGTTTGCTTCTTTCTTTCTTTTTTTTGGTTGCAAGATTGTATATGATTTCTCAACCGGATCCATCCTTCTTGAGGGTATGTTGAAGTAAATTCTTCTGTTGAGTCATTTTGAATAACGCGCCTCTCTGTGGCCTATGGTGGTCATATGTCTGACCCGTACACTGATAAAGCTAAGGTGCCATGACTCATCTTTACTTTACACTGCACAGATTCAGGTCATACTTGAAGCGGGCCAAATAGGCTGTAAATTCTTCACGCAGTAACAGGAAAGTAGTTGGAAGGCTAAGCCTCTGGCTGTGCTCCTTCCCGTGAGGATCAGTGAGGCTGGCAAGGGTTCTCCGTGCGTTCGGTCAGGATAGTGAGGTCACCGACAGTCCTGCGGGAAAGTAAACAACAACCAGTACGCATTGTTACCTTGAAATTTGTGAGGCCACTCTCAGTTGAGACTTGTGTTTTGCAGCCACAGACTACTTAGATCCATCCGTCGATCCCTCTACCACCCAATGACTTTGGACGCGATCGACGAAGAATTACTTCCATAACTGTACGGATCTTGATCTTCGATGCCGTGGCTAATCTCTATAAGTATCTCTACTAACAGTATTGGGGGGTTGATCCTCGCAACGGTTGACAGGCCTCCCGTCTGCAGATGTTGCTTTTCGTAGTGACCTAGTAGGTACTTAGATGTCCACCGACTACAAGCCTGCCCGATAGAACAGGGGCAATGGGAAGCCCAAGATGACATGTGCAAGGAACTCAGAGACGCAACAGAACAATGCAGGGATGCTGAGCCTCGACTAGCCGAAAATACAATGTCTTCCAGAATATACGACGAGCATGTCCGCACAAAAGTCCTTGCCCTGGTTCCACCCGTCCTGTCTTGACAACTCCCCAGGAACCCAGCTGCCTCACGCGATGCAGCCGTTAGGAAGTGTGACGTTGCACAGAACCCCATCTGTCACGGATTGCCCAGCAATGTTCAACTCTATATACCACCAGAGGGCTTGGACTACTCAGCCGGTCTCAACGCCTATCTCAATATCGCTACGTCCTAGTGCACGTTAGTCATCTACTATGAGAGCAAGGGCATCACTATTTGCAACGACGTGAAGACTGCTTTCATTCAAGGATACGAACTCCCATCTCACCGATGGAGACCTCAGAGGAACGACACTGCCTGAACAGTCCAAACCATTGTCATAACAGCCTCTCAAGTGATTTATTCTGGTCAAAGACAGCCTTCAGTTCACAGAAGAAGAGGACGATCGTACCCAGATCTGTGCGATAACCAAAACCCACTGTGACGACGGAAAGCGACATGATCCGTTCATTGGGACACTGTCAAGCTGACAAACAAGAGTACAGGGCCAGAACCACGAACAAAGACCTAATACCGAACGCCCCAATATCCGCCAAAGCCAACCAGGCTGAGGCACGCCGTGTAAACCCGGCTTCCTCTTTTGTAGGTCTTAACCCTGATTGGAGAAGGACCGAAGCCTGCTTGTGCCACCTGACAAGTCCCTTTTGCCACCCACAGGCAAAGCAAGAGAGTGACTGTTTTGGGTTACCCAGCCCCCCAATGACATGACTTGGTAGAAAGGGTGGCTATCGTGGCACGACTGAAGCGGGGAAAGGACTCATGTAAATTGGTTGGCGCCTTTCAGCTTCGACGCGGTGCGACAGTGATAGCCACTTTGTTCTTTCTGGACCTGTTTTTTGTGGTAGGTACATCAGGCCTTTATCAGGTCTTCAGACGGCCAAAAAGTGGTATGACTGAGGAATTAGGTTGGTTATGTAGCAGAACGCCCGTTGGTTTCGTGGCGCGGACCGTACTTGTTAATCAAGATGCCCATGTCCTTGTACACGCTGGAGCAGGGTCAGCAATCTGCAGGTTCTTCCAAATCGAGCATCATGCCATGCAACCTACTCTTCTCTGGCGGGCGAACCAAGGTAATGCGCCGAATGCGTCAGGTTGAACTTGATTGAATAAAGGCGATTCCGGTCGTCCCACTGTGAGGCTGGTTCGCTTGGCGGCATGCGCATCAGGTATTGTCTGAAGTAAGGCTGGCCAAAGCGAATGACCTCGCGACGCCACATTCCTAAATCATACTCGTTGTGAGCGTACATACATGACGGGTCGAATACGACGGGTTGTTGCGTGTCAATATTGACCCCAGCGTTCTCCTCCCACAAGTCCCCATGCACCAAACAAGGCTTGAGGATGCGGCCATGTGACTGGAGAGGATCCAGCAGCGCCGGGATGACATATTGTCTGAGCGTTGTGAAGGCTGCCTCAAACTCGGCCCACGGCCCGTTGATTTTCATGGCCTCGTCGTAGGCTTCTGTGATCAAAGCGTCGTAGCATTCTCTCCAGCTGGAAGTCCAAACATTGCCTTGAATGATCCGTCCCTGGCATGTTGGCACCGGGAAGCCAAACATGCCATTCGGAGAGACGCTTTTTTGATGGACTTCAGCGATTAGATGACAGAAGACGACGGGGTTCGGCATCGTGGGCCTCATGTTCAAGAACTCCATGACAAAGAAGTATACTCGAGGAGTTGACGAGAACCGTCCCCAGCCGTATGGCTTTGGTACGAAATCAGGCACCAGATTATGCATGGCGGTGGTCGAATTGAACTCGCCCTCCATCATGACCGTCGGGTCTGTCGTACACTTGAGAAAGTACGTATTGTGAGTGCCGTTCCTCAATCTCGTCTTGATCCTGGCGGTTTGCGTCCACGCAGATGCGCCCCAAGCAGTGGCTTCGATGAATCGTTCGCCTTCAGGCAAACCTAGGAGTTTGGTCAGCGGAACTTGGAAGTCATGTTGAAGGGGTTTCATAACGACAACTGACATTTCTTGACCTGAGTATCCAGCTTGATGCGGCCATTACGGTCCAATTCAAATACCTGCTCGGTCATGATTAGCTAGGAGGTTTAATCACGACAATATTGTGGTAGGAAACCAGAAGGTAGTTCAGGCGTTGTAGAGTCAAGCAAATTGACGCAATATGTAAATGTTAGCCTTATTAACAGACCAAATTGACTGAAAATGCACTTTTGTTGTCATTCAGGTGACCTGCGTGATCCCACGTAGACCGAACTATTGAGAGAACCAGAAGATGCATGACGATCAGGGCTGTGAAATATCAGATGACGCAACTGGCCTATTTAGGAGAATCAATTTGATTGTCTAGATCTGAGTAGTCAAAAACGCAGGGCTGCATCTCGCGTCAGCTCAACCACCTTTCACACCCTTTATCAGAGGCATCTACTACTTTGGGACACCGAGTAGTTGCACCCATGTCAGCAATGTATGCTTCGCGGCCTTCCCGAAAACAAGGTGGCCGAGCAGTATGCAGCAATTGCGAAGGCTATCACATTCATAATCAGGCTGTCCGTTCTGTGTGCTGGCGCACCCACCCTCACAGAGCCTCGTCCTATCTCAGAGCCGCCGTGTTCTCCCGGCCTTTTACCCCGCTGCAATTTCGCCATAATTGCGCGTCCAAGTTTAGGTGCAGCCTTTATCCATGTTAGCCAGAATCTAAGCTTTCGTCCAAGGTAATTCCTATTACAGCAGGGCCCCGAGATCTTTCTCCCCTCCTTACTTACCTACCAGTGTGTTCAGACAAGTCCAGAAGTAATTTTGCTGCCAGTGTCGGCTGATTAACTGACGGAACTCCTCATTCTTATAATCGAACAGTGCAGGAAACTAGGCGTCTTCCTCAACGTCAACTGCCACCCCATACTCCTCTCACCAGGCAAGGCTGAGTTGTTCAGCCAGTTGAAGCGGCGGTATGGTCAGTCATACAAATGCTCTTAGCTACCCACACAATCTCCATGGCGGATCGAATGGTGGTAGTATCACTAACATTGTGACAAAAGCCCCAATTCCCCCTTAGATTTAGAAGAAGAAACCGGAGCGAAGCAGACCGGCCGAATGAACATCAACTGCTGCCCCCCAGTGAGGGGGAAGACCACCAAAGCAGGGCACGAACTCCAAGTCCGAACGCGCTTCTACGAGTCTCTACTGTTGCAACGAATGCGTAAGTAATAAATCTGTCTTCTACAAATGTTATTGATCTAAAAATCTACGTGGTGAAAGCACACTTGACACTGTCCGATCTAGGACGCCTATCGCGTCAGTCAATCGCGCCGACGACCCAATGGGGTTGCACATTCTCCACGAGCCTATCGGAACTAGGAACGTCGACATCATCTTCGTACATGGACTTGGTGGCTCCAGTCGTCTGACCTGGGCATGGGAGCGCGATTTGAGTCTGTTCTGGCCAAAAGAGTGGCTGCCACTCGAGCCCGAATTGGGTGACGCCAGGATATTCTCGTTCGGCTACGATGCCAACTTTACCAAGTCGACACAAGACACGCTCAATATCAAAGCTTTTGCGGAGCAGCTCCTGAATGCCATGAAGTTTGGCAGAGGGGAATATGAGGATTGGGACATTGGAAAGGCTCGTAAAAGCTGCTCGTCGTAGAATTTGCCCGCACTAATCGACACCAGGTTCCGATCATATTCGTCGTCCACTCTATGGGAGGCTTGGTATTTAAGAAGGTCTGCGATTTGCGAAACACTCGATGATAGACATGACCTAACGTTCGCCAGGCTTACAATCTCGGCGCAATCGACAAAAAGTTCAGTGCAATGACTGACACTATTCGTGGGGTGGTGTTTCTCGCAACACCTCATCAGGGCAGCAACCTGGCCGACGTGCTCAAAAAGTTCTTGTCCACATTTATGCAAACTCCGAAACAGTACATCAATGAGCTGCGACATAACTCTGAGGCGCTGGTGGGCATCAATGAACAGTACGTTCAGCATGCAAGGAACATGCACCTCGCATCGTTCCGCGAGACTCACGCCACCAGTATCCGGGGTCTCAAAAGTGTGAGTACCAATCCAGAGTGAGTATGGTCGTGGCGCATCTGATGGTTGGCTACACAGCTCATCGTCGACGAGTCATCAAGTAAACTCAATTATCCCAACGAGATATGCTGGCCATTGAATGCCGATCATCACAATGTCTGCAAGTTTGCGTCTCGCCAGGATCAAAATTACATCAGCGTCAGCAGTGTGATAAGGGATTTCGTCAAGCTTGTAACCTCCAAAGGTAGGGTGCCATTGAGGCTCTTCTATGACTTTATGCTTATCAGAAGCAGCCGCGATCCCTATCAGTCGTCGTCCTTCGACAGTGCAAAGTTTCGAATCCATCCGGAAAAGACTGTCCGGACTGATCGATACGCCCGAGAGGTACAGGGCCGACCACGAGCGCGTCTCTCAGCTCTATGTGCCTGGCAGCTGCGACTGGATCCTCGACGACCTCCAATTCCGCGGCTGGCTCTCAGACGACTCACTCGAGCCTTCAATTCTCAAGCTTTCTGGTTCTCCGGGCTCAGGAAAGTCAGTCATGGCCGGCTTCCTGGTGACGCACCTCGAGGAAACTCAGAACAGGGTTCAATATTTCTTCTTTCGTTACAATGAGGAGGCCAAGCGATCGATCACCGTCTGTCTCAAGATGCTGGCTTACCAAATTGCACTTTGCATGCCCGAGTATCGTCGAAAGATCCTCCCACTTCTCGAGGATAAGAACGCCCTCGCACGGAACGATGCGAGAGGTGTGTGGCAAAGAGCATTCGTCAATATTCTGTCCAAGATGGATCTTGACGAGCCCCTCTTCTGGGTCATCGATGCTGTGGATGAGTGCGAGTCGGCACAGATATTGCTCAACCTCCTGCCTGCGTTGAAGGAGCAATCAATCCCCGTGAAGATCATCTTTCTTACTCGGCCCCAAGCATCATTTAGAGCTTTCGAGAGACTTCGCTATAGGTTCGGTTCAAATTTCCGCCAGAGTGAGGTGGTGCCTACTCGAGAAGGACAGAAACTATTCATCGAGCAGGAACTGGAAGTTGCATACCGCGAATGGCCGCAGAACTTTTTCAACAATGTCAAGGATGACTTGCTCCGCAAATCGAAGGGAAACTTTCTCTGGTTGACGCTCGTCACAGAGGAGCTTCATCGGTGCGACACAGAGAAACAGGTAGAGGAAGTACTTTCTCAGCCGCCGGAGGATCTCGTCGGCGTTTACTCAAGAATTGTCAGCTCCATCGCGAAAACCTACAGCGAGGGCGAGTTGCAGACAGCCAAGAAGATCCTAATCTGGATCACCTGCGCCGAATGGCAGCTCTCCTTGGGCGAACTCGAGGAAGTACTGAGCCCGGAGCTCACGGCTCTCAACATCAAACGGACCATACACCGGCTTTGCGGGGATTTGGTGGTTGTCGACGAGAAGAAAGGCAGTGTATCAGCTGTGCACCATACAGCGAAAGAGTTCTTGATACATGACAAAGGCAGTGAGCTTGCGATTGACCCGCCTGAAGCCCACACATTGATCTTCGTCAAGTGCCTCGATATCTTGATGGACACGCAATTCAGAGTACATCTGAAAACTCATGGCTGTGTAGGCGTGCTGAAGTACGCTTGCATTTTTTGGGCCAAGCATCTTGCCAACGCCGACCATCTGAATCGACAGCATCTTCGCACCTTGGTCAAATTCTTTGAAGGAGAGTGTGTGCAAGCCTGGATCGAAGCGGTGGGCCTCAATGGCAGCTTGAGCGTCTTGACGAGGACGTCTAAGAACCTGAATCTTTTCGTCAAACGAAGAGAACAATATGAGCAAGAGGTTATCCCTATGAACCGTTCGAGTGAGGAATGCGACTTCCTTGCCTTATGGTCAGCCGAACTGGTACGCATCGTGGGAAAATTCGGTCACCACATCGTGAAATACCCTGACAGCATCCACAATTTGATACCACGATTTTGTCCGCCGGACTCTATCATGGCTCGTCAGTTTGTTTACTTTAGCCCAACGGCTCTCCAGGTCACAGGGGTTTCCAATACAGGCTGGGATGACCTGCTCGCAAAGTTCAATACCAGCCAGACAAACCAGCCAGACATGATCTACTGCCTGGACGATTTCTTCGCCATCCTGGCCTCGAGTAACACTGTCAACATGTACTCAACGTCAACATTCCGCGAGATAGGGAAAATTGGACACGGGGAGATGATTCTTGCCATGAAGTTTAGCGAAGACGGTGACCGACTGGCGACATGCGGTAAAGACACCGTCAAAATTTGGGACGTGGAAAGTGGGAAACGTCTAGGCCACTTCCCGAACCCAGATGGACTCCGCGCTATGGATGTTGCATTTGACAAGAAGTGTTGCAAAGTTCTTGTCTGTTATGATGACTCCAGCGTGAGATTTATGTCGCTCCTGGGTTACAATGCCTGGCAGACTGTCCCAAAAGTGTTTCCCCCCGCTTCAAGGTCAACATCGGAGCCCAGGTTTGCCACACCCGCGTGCGCGTCCTTCAGTCCTGACGGGACCCAAGTGGCCATCTCGTATCGCGGAATCATGCCACTCAGAGTCTGGCACACCGAGACTGGTAAGCTCATGGGGACCCTGGACCGCAGAGGAGAATTCTCTCGAGGACTGCACAGCGGCGCATGCTATGCTTTCAGGTTGGCATGGAACCCTGTGACGGGCCATGTGCTGGGCGTCTACAATGAGGGCTCGGTCTTCAAGTGGCATCCGCTAGAGGCGAGGAGCTGGGAGCCCCAGCAGTCTCTCAGGGCCTCAGAACTCGCCTGCTGCCCTGATGGGAAAATGTTTGTTACCGCTAGCAGAGACGGATCTCTGAAAGTATGGACCTTCGAAAGCTTCACTTTGTTGTATCATCTGAGTTGTACATTATCTGTTACGGACATTGCACTCAGTCCTGATGGGCGTCGGATCTACGACCTTCGACAGACTTACTGCCACGTCTGGGAGCCGAATTCGCTCATGCGAATGGCCGAAATGGACGATGCCGATAGCGACTTGGCAGGATCACGACCGGGATCGACCAGTTTCTCTCTGGTGTCGGAGGAAGAGACGGTGGCTGCCATACTGGACCCCATCAACTGCCTCGCGCACAGCCGGCACGGCACCGCCTATGCTTACAGCAACGAGGTTGGAATGCTGAGCGTGGTTCTCGACGCCGATGCTTCCAAGATGGAAGACCAAGGCGAGACCATCATGGGCGTATCATGCATAGCTTGGAGTGAAGATGGCCAGATTGCAACGGCGGACATTAGTGGCAACATCGTCATTCGTTTGGTGACAGAGGGCGGGCTTATGGCAAGCGACCTCAAACTGAAGTCGGCCGAAATGGTTCGCCAGCTCTTGTTCGACCACAGCGGGAGAAGGTTGCTGGCGCGGTGCATTACGTACACCAAGGTATGGTCACTGACAAATGGGCAATGCCTAGTCAGTCGGCCGCTTGACAGGTCCTGTCAGTGGATCTTGCATCCGTTCCTTCACGAGGCACTGCTATCCGTCACACCCCGAGAACTCACTGTTCATCGCTGGGAAGACCTCGAATCAGTGCAACAATGGCACATCGACTTCCAAGCAGTCGAGTCTGCACGTCATGACGACGTTCCGCGGCTTGTACGCTCGCCGTCATCAACGCAAGCGTTGACACGGTTAGAGCTCGAGGCGTCCATTGACAAAGTCATGTTTTGCAAGGAAGGACAATGGCTCTTCGTGCAAAAGTCCACTGCATCGACAGACGAGAGGCGAACTTTGGACTTCTTCACGATGGATGTAGCGTTCCTTGAACCGGGTCAGGAAGGTCTAGCTTCACCTGTGAACAATGTCTCCGCAACGCCGTTACCTCAGCAAATCCTGCGTGAGATCGAGGTTCCTTTGGGTTTCGTGGCTGATCATGTTGGCTTGAAGAAGACATTGGGTGTGCCGCGGAATCTGGATGGCGCGAGCTCCATGGCGTTCCTTGACCGAGACTTTTGGCTATGCACATGGTATCTGAGCGCTGACGCGGGAAATGTCAAGATCAGGAAGCACTTTTTCCTGCCGCGAGATTGGATCAATATGGAATGTTTGGAGCTGGCGATGATCACGCACGACGGCAGATTTCTGTGTCCAAGAAATGGCGAGCTGGTGGTCGTCTCGAACGGCCTGGGCGGCGGCGGATAGTTTGAAATAATGCTTTGATGGAAGGCGCTGATGTTTTGATAAAAGGGGATGTAAAATGGCTGTCAGGCGGTGATATCGGAGGATGCCAATTAGTGCCATAGGATTGAGAGGGAAAGGATGAGTGAGGTCGCTACTTCTAGCGTGAGGTTGGCCGTGTTCTCTTCATTACTGTGCACTGTATGGCCCCCTCTCCACCAAACCAGGGCGAGGAACCTACCTAACCTTCCTTACCTAGGTACCATGGTCATCGGGTTTTCTGTGCTCCTCGGCCTGCGGGAAAGTCGTAATCTGACGGAAAGCCGCACTCGAACCCCTGTTTCGCTCTAGAAGAAATTGATGAAACGATCGACTGAAACTAGATCAAGGGCGCAACATTGCTAGCATGGCATCCGAACAACTGAACGTCATTGCTCTCATATCGGGGGGGAAAGACAGCTTCTTCTCAGCCTTGCACTGCATCGCAAACGGACACAAAATCATCGCTCTGGCGAACCTGCAGCCGTCTGTAGACGACCAAGCCCCATCGGAGCATGAGGTCTCATCCAACGGCACTCGCATCGTCAAACCTGACACGCTGCTATCGGGAAGCCAGGGTGCAGTTGACATCAGCCATGACGATCAAGACTCTGCTACCGACGACGAGGACCTTAACAGTTTCATGTATCAGACTGTAGGCCACCAGATCATTCCTCTGTACGCCAAAGCCACAGGGCTTCCTCTCTACTGTCAGCCTATAGTCGGTGGAGCTAAGTACGAGGGTCGCGACTATGATGCCTGTCGGGCTACCGACGACGAAACGGAGAGTATGGTACCTCTTCTACGCACCATAATCGACCGGCATCCTGAAGCCAATGCGCTCTGCGCCGGAGCAATACTGTCAACTTACCAGCGTACCCGCGTGGAATCTGTCGCCTTGCGGCTCGGCCTCACCCCAGTCGCCTATCTGTGGAAGTACCCGGTGCTACCTCCAGCACTAAGCGGCCTTCCTTCGGATGACGCCCAGTTGCTGTTGGACATGGAAGTGGCCGGCCTTGACGCGCGAATCATCAAAGTTGCTAGTGCAGGTCTGGATGAAGACTTTTTGTGGGAGAGGGTAAGCTGTGCGGCCGGGGTGTCGAAGGTCAAACGAGGCCTGAGAAAATTCGGTGTCTCCGAAGGCTCAGTTCTTGGTGAGGGAGGCGAGTTTGAAACTCTGGTCGTCGATGGGCCAACCACTTTGTTCCAAAAGCGAATCATCGTGCCAGACCAAGCTCGAAAGCTTGTGAGGGAGGGAGGGGGTACGTCCTGGCTCAGCTGCCGAGGAGCCTACATCGGCGAGAAGGACAGGCCACAAGAGGATTCTGATGGGGCGGTTCGCGTGCCAGGACTTTTCGATCCCAGGTTCGACTACGTCTCAGAATCTATCTCAGAGACAGCGAGGTCAGTGTCGAACGAGTCGAAACCCAGCCAGCGACAGGGCAAAACTCTTCGGCTGAGCGACTTGCCGGCATTGTCGTCCGAGATTTCTTGGACTGTACACTCGGAAGGGTTAAGTCCTCAGTCTACCATCGAGGCTGAGACGCAAGACGTGGTCGACAAGATCAAGACTCTCCTCACCAAGTCATCGCTGCCCACCACTGCCATCACCAATACCATCATCGTTCTCCGCCGCATGTCCGATTTCCCTGCCATCAATGGCATTTATGGGGCATTATTCAGTCACCCAAACCCCCCTTCACGGATCACCATCTCTTCCGGCGACCTCCTCCCTGATGATTGCAACATTGTCATCCATCTGTCCATACAGCCCTCTCTTGGTCTCCGCGACAGAAAGGGGCTTCATGTCCAGTCAAGATCTTACTGGGCGCCGGCAAATATTGGCCCCTATAGCCAAGCTATCGACGTGCCCCTAGTCGGGCTCGCCTCGTCCTCCCCAGACCTCGCCACGACAAGGTCTATCTTTATTGCTGGTCAGATCCCTCTCTGGCCTGCCTTGATGGCCCTCCCTGTCGAAGCCGACATCTCGGCTCAAATCACCATGTCCCTTCAACACCTTTGGCGCATCGCAGCCGACCAACATGTTCAGCTCTGGTCCAGTGCTGTTGCTTACTTCCCACGCACGCATGACATGGGTGGCATGCGGACCAAAGCCCGTCTTGCCGCCCAAGCGTGGCGAGCAGCCCATTTTTACGCTACGGATGGAGAGGAGGAAACTGGACCTGACCCATGGGACCGCAAATATAACCCTGCATTCATGACATTCGGCGATGCCACTGGCGACAACGTTTCGACTCTTCCGGATTCAGACGTCATGAAAGTGTCCCTCGAAGATGATGACGACGACAAACCTTTCATTCCGCCATTCTTCGCGGCGGAGGTCGAAGAACTTCCACGTCAGTCAGGTGTGGAATGGCACGCTCACCTCGGTCTCGCCGGCGTTCCCTCGTCTTCGGTCGAACACGCCAGTCACATGGAAGAACCATGCGAAGGACGACCTTTCACGTCCCGTACATCACATCTCGTTGTAGCAGGTGTGTTAGTTCGCAGCACCGTGTCGATCGAGTCCCGGGGTGGTATCGAGATCAGTCCCGTTGATGTCCTCCAGGAGGCCAAGCGTGCATATTCAACATCTCTCTCAGGACGCTCTGCCAGAGAACCATGTCTCATCTACATCGACACCTCCATATGTGGCGTCGCCGTGTCAGCATCAGGGGCCAGAAAAGAAGGGGCCACTGCATCTGCCGTAATCCCCTGTCACTCTCTCTGGTCCTCGGCCGGTGAAAAGCTCGCGGCAGTGGTATTGTTCCGAGGCTGAGCTAGGTAGACAACCAAGATAGAAGCATGGCCCTCAAACCAACCACTGTGCTTTCGCGTGCCTTCCAACCACTTCGTGGCCCCTTTGATCTCCCTCGCGCACCTTCCTCCATATCCCGTTGCATCCCACCACGCGTGCCTGATGCTCTATAGGCTCCAATTTGCCCGCCCCAGACCAGCTCCCACCAGAACGGACGCGTTCTGGTGGTGCAGTGGGTTGTCGTAACGCGTTGGCAGGACCCTGCCTTCCAAATACCCCTATGAGAAGCACCCTTATTCAAAACTCACAGATCAGGGGGGCGCACGTTCGAGCCTTGGCTTCTGAAAGCGCCTGGAGGGACCGGGGGGAACTTTTTTTCCCACTTGGCCACTCAGAACTTCAACATTGGTACATTTACCAGGGCTATCATGGGCTCTTTGATGTCCTGCCATCTGGTCACATGGCGCGCAGATTGGCTCGAGGATAGCTCAAGATGTCATCTTGTGGTTTGCAGCCCCTCCCTATTCTCTATCTAACAAGTGCATTCCATGTTCGTGGTATCGGTCACCCGCTGGCTGAAACTGTGCCAGGATATCCTCAATCTCAGCCATGTCAGCCTCACTCAGCTCGACAGCTGCTGCTGCACAGTTCTCGCGCACGCGCTCCGGCGACGAAGAGCCCGGGATGGGGATGATCGTTGGCATTCCTGGGCGACGCGCGATAGCCAGGAGCCAAGCGATGGCAACCTGAGCTGCGGTGCAGCGCTTGCGTGCTGCAAACTCAGTGACCTTGTCGGCGAGCTTGAGGTTGACCTCGAAGTTGCCGGGCTGATACCGGGGCAGGACCTTTCGGAAGTCGCCATCGGGGATATCGGCCGGAGACCTGATGGCGCCGGTGAGGAGACCCCGGCCAAGCGGAGCTGCACGCACGGATTAAAAGACTGAATCCAAAAATATCAGGGGTTCCACTCACAGTATGCGACGATGGGGATGTCAAACTCGGCACAGACGTCGGTGATGCCATTGGTCAGGGCATCAGTCTCCCACAGCGATAGCTCAATCTCGACGCTGGAAATTTTGGTCACCTTGGCGGCTCTCCGGATGGTGCTGGCGGAGACCTCGGACACGCTGACACCACCGATACGGCCCTTCGCCGCGGCCTCGACGATGGGGCGCAGAGAGTTCTCGTAGGGGACGTCAGCGTCGACCCTGGCAATCTCAAACTCATCAATGGTGCCCCTGGGACCAAGCTGCTGCAGACACTTGTCGATGCTGGTGGCGACTTCATCGGGCGAGCCGGTGGGTGTGAAGGCTGGAAGAACGGCAATGCCCGACTTGATGTTCAAGACAACTTTGCCTGCGGCTTCGGGACGCTTCTCAAAGAAGCGGCTCAGAAGTGCGAGAGAGTTGTTGTCAGGGGGGCCGTAAAAGTCGCCGCCGTTCCAGTAGTTCGCGCCGGCATCAATGGCAGCATCAAGAACACCAAAGGCCTGATCATCGGAAAGGGGGGTAGGGCGCATGGTCAAGCCTAAGGGATCTATATCAATGTACTGGGGACCGAGAACGCGAGAGCCATGGCATACCAATCATGCCAAAGCCAATAGGCCCGACGGGACGGCCATTGATACGATTTGCCATGAGCAAGTATGCCAAAGGACACGGCAGGCGAGGCGGCACAGGAGCGAGTATCTGCGAGTGAAGAGAGTTGTATCAGCTTCTGACGAGGCACATATTCGCCGGAGCGCGGTAGAAGACATCGACTCTCTCCAAGCCTCACACAGAGTCAAAACTGATTGGCCCAATTGCCTGGGACACGGTGGACCTTGATGGCAGACATTGGTCTGCCGGGGAGAGGTGAAGTTCTGGCTTGAGCAAGATCTATGCTGACCCCGCGATCTGGACATACATGTGATTGATCTAGGATCCCGGTCGGTTCCCGTGTTCACAAGGTCGGAGATGGATGGTAGTAGATCCTATCTTGGCTCCCCACAGACTGCTGTAAGGCGTGTGCGTGGTGGTGTGATGCTGTCGACCAGCCGCGGAAGATACCGAACAGTACCTTCGTCGTGGGGTAGGGTTATGGTTTCCTTCTTTGGTCAGACAGGTAGTTTTCCCCAAGTCTTCCGTCTTCCTGCCTGGTAAATCGTCGCCTGGGTGGAGGGTAGAAGGAGCGATGGGCGTGCTGGGCCCCACATGCAACTGCCCTTGATCGTACACAAGCACAGCAAGCACAGCAAGCACGGCCCAGCGAAATTGGTCTTACTGACCCCTCGCGTGCTCCCAACTCGACCGTGCGTGCCTGCCGCGGGTGGGACAAGATCAAAGGCCAACGTCATAACGAGCAAATGTTACGCAACAAATACGGGAGCTTCGCCGTGTCTCCCCAGAGCCAAGTCTCCCCAGAAGATCACCTTCGCCAATCTGACAAGCGATGCAGCTTGCTACATGACTGCACCTTACTCATATTCCCAGAACACCCACGCGATGCGACGACACCCTCCAAAAGCACCGTCAGGTCCCATCGGTCCCATCGGTCCCATCGGTCCCATCGACCGGGCGAATGAACGCTCCAGTCGACAGTGGTGCGCCCTGTGACCCTGGCAGACCCTCCCGCTCATAGTGAGGTGGGCCAGGGTCCTGGCACGAGCCTACGACATGGGACGGCAGCTGATGAGCATCACATGGCAACGTTTTCGAGTCAAGCTTGGATTGTTTCTCGTCTGCTCAACTTTCACTACGAACGACAAGCCCAGCGATAGCACGACATCACGACGATTTCGAGTCGAGGCACAAGCTGTCTTCTAGGGATCGTTTACCCCCCACGACCTGACAAGCAGCGCCTGCAGCTGCCGACATTTAAGCTCGCGCGACGGCTTCATCACGTCAGACCCCCCCTGTCGCACGACTGCCCACCACAGCGCGGATGTGATTCAGCACCAACCCAACAACCCAGCAAGTCCGCCAACCGGTACCAGAGTACCGGCGGAGAAACACAAAATTGTACTCGCTTTCGCTCGCTGATGCCATGGCTTCTGAACGCCACGATACTGCCGCCTCCGCTGCCACAGCGGCAGGCCCAGACGCCGCAGCTGTCGCTCCACCCTCGCCCAGTATTCCCTCTCGTCGCCCTTCGACTTCGGCGAGCAGGATAAGCCGGACTGTCTCCTTCGACCAGGACAATCTCGACGCCATCCAGCACACGTCTTCTCACCCTCAGCCGCCGGTCCATCGCCCGAGCGCCAATGCGAACGACCGCATCAGCAACATACTAGAGGTACGGCCCCCCTTGCCACTGTCTTGCTCTCTCTCTCTCCCTCCTCCTCCTCTCCCGCACGTGCCCCCGCTGACGCTATCCCCCACGCCAGGACGCACGAAATCGCAGCGAGACAATGTCGAGCCCAGAGCAGCGCAGGATCCTCGAGTCCGACCGCGAAGATGAGGGACAGAGCAGCGCCGACGAGCGTACTGGCATCTTCACACGCGGCGCCGATCGGAACTATCAGTCCATCAGCCCCATGACCGCCACGCCCGTGCAGGGACCGCGGGTGAGAAAGGCTCCGAGCACCAGACGATCCACGGCCTCCTCCAGGATAGACCTCTCTGCCCCAGACGGCAGGCCTGACCAGGACGCGGACGCCGCCACCGCCGACACCCCCGAAGTGAGCAGTACATCGGCGAGGAGAGCGCGGACGTCGGAAAAGAAATCATCATGGCACGGTGGGCTCTTCTCCCACTTTCAGAGCATTGAGCTCGAGAACAAGGGCAGCGTGGCTCGCGATCACCTAGCTCTAGGTATGTTCACACCCCCACTCAGCAGGTGTCTCAGGCGTCTAACGTGAGCCGACAGAGCGCACCTTTCTCGCCTGGCTGCGTACCTCACTTGCCTTCGCCTCGATTGGCATCGCCGTCACGCAACTCTTCCGTCTCAACACATCTCTGCCCAACAGCTCGGGTGACAAGGAGGATGCTGCTTCGGTGACGCTGCGGCGCCTGGGTAAGCCCCTCGGCGCCACGTTCCTCGGTATCAGCATCGTGATCCTTTTCCTGGGCTATCACCGCTACTTCCACGCGCAGCGATGGATCATTGCGGGCAAGTTCCCCGCCAGTCGTGGAACCATTATCGCTGTCGCCTTTGTAGCGTTTGCCGTCATGATTGCGAGTTTGATTGTCGTCATCGTAGTGCATCCGCGGTCGCCGGCGTAGCTGTCTAATCAGGATATCAAGGTGTATCTGTTGCTATGTAATTGTGTGAGCAGTCCGATGATGGAGCGTCTTGATTTAGAGTGTTGAGTATCTGGTTTGGGTGGCCCTGAGCGGATGTGTTTCGCGGGGAGTCAATAGTCGTCTTTGGCCAAGGAGCAAAGGTATCAAGAATGAATTCTTTTCGCAGTACGCCCTGTTAGCTTCAATGCGAATGGAAGAGATGCTTGGCTGTTGTGGATGTATCTGCGTTGAACCTTGTTGCTCTGCAGACATTAGTGGAGCGGGACTGAGCATGAACAGGTGGACCAAATCATCACAGCTCCATCTGGACCTCACCCGCAACCAAATCACAGGCCCTACAATATCTCAACGGACGTGCTCAGTGCTTGTTGCGACGTGACGTCAGTGGAAATACGAGCAGCGTCTTTTCCACCAACAACGTCTACTAAGATTCCAACCCGCTGGCCCAGCGCACGCCGGCTCGGGCATCCGACCCCGCGATACATCGACCCCGCCAAGCCCCTCCACAGCAAGCCCATCATCAAGCTTCTCAACACAGCACACACATATACATACCAAAACGGTGCCGCCAGCCCAGTACACCACGTCATCCATCATGGCGCCCAAAGGAGAACCGCCATCCATCCCCCTCTTTGCCTCCACCCAGCTCGCCCTCCTCTCCAACGAGCTCGCCGCCGACCTGGCTCAGACCTCGACGCTGCTCGCCTCCCACGCGCCCGCGACCCTGCAGCGCGCCGGCCTCGCCCTGACCTCCCTCCTGCCGCAGGCCCGCCGCACCGGCCCCGGAGGCCGCACCCTTCTCGAGCTCGCCCCCGACCCGGCCACCGCCAAGACGCAGGATCTCCCCGAGCACGGCCTGCGGCCCGGGGACATTGTTCTCGTCGCCGAGCAGCCGGCCGGCGCGGCCAAGAAGAGGGAGCTCAGGGAGCTCGAGGCCAAGGGCGGCAGGGCCGTCGTGGCGAGGGTGCGGAGGGAGTGCGTCACTGTTGCGCTTGAGGGGGAGGAAGAGGGGGGGGACTGGAGTGGCCGGCTTTGGATTGTCAAGCTGGCGGATGAGGTCACGTACAAACGGTGAGTTATGCAGTCTTCATTTCGGCTAGTCATATGAGAGAGAGGGGGGGAAACAGAACCGTAATCCGAGTCTGGTCTACCATGCGATGCTGACTGACTACCAGGATGAACCAAACCATGGAGAAGCTGCAAAAGATGCCCGAGGCCGAGTACTCGAGTTTCATGCGCGTGCTCTTCGGATTGTCCAGCCCGTCTCCCATACCAGTGGACCTCGCGGCAGACGGGGATTTCGGCAAGCTCGAATGGGTCGATCCATCTCTCAACGATTCACAAAAGGACGCCATCCGCTTTGCCCTCGCGTCGCGGGAGGTGGCACTCATCCACGGCCCTCCGGGTGTGAGTATTCACTCCGAGGAGACAGCATCCACCATGATGCTGCGCCTTCATACTAACAAGCAGTCAGACTGGCAAAACTCACACCCTCATCGAGCTCATCCTTCAGTTTGTCCGCCGCGACCAGCGCATCCTCGTCTGCGGCCCCTCCAACATCTCCGTCGACAACATTGTCGAGCGCCTCGCCCCCCATAAGATCCCCATCGTCCGCCTCGGCCACCCAGCCCGTCTCCTCCCCTCCGTTCTTGCTCACTCTCTCGATGTCCTGACTCACACCTCCTCAGCCGGGGCCATTGTTCAGGACGTCCGTGCCGAGATGGATGCCAAGCAGGCCTCCCTGAAGAAGGCTCGCACCGGCCGCGATCGCCGCGCCATCTATGCGGACCTCAAGGATCTGCGAAAAGAGTACCGCGAGCGCGAGCGCGGATGCTTGCGCGAGCTGGTAGGAGGCAGCAAGGTCGTTTTAGCGACTCTGCACGGGGCCGGCGGCTTCCAGCTGCGGGACGAAAAGTTCGACGTCGTTATCATTGACGAGGCGAGCCAGGCCCTCGAAGCACAGTGCTGGGTACCGCTGCTGAGGGCGAACAAGGTTGTGTGCGCGGGCGATCACCTGCAGTTGCCGCCGACGATCAAGTCACTGAACTCCAAGACCAGCATGGCGAAGAAGCAAGACGAGGAAGAGGTGCCGACGGTCAAAGGCATGACGCTTGAGACGACCCTCTTTGACAGACTTCTGTCTCTGCATGGGCCATCAATCAAGAGGATGCTTACAACGCAGTATCGCATGCACGAGGCTATCATGCGGTTTCCCTCCGATGAGCTCTACGAAGGAAGGTTGGTGGCTGCTGAATCAGTTGCGACGCGCCTCCTCAAAGACATGCCGTATGAGGTACAGGACACGGAAGATACAAACGAGCCTCTTGTCTTTATTGATACGCAGGGCGGAGACTTCCCCGAGAAAAGTGAAGAAGACAGCGACGATGCAGCGAAGAAGGCCAAATTCAGTCTTAACGGCGAGAGCAAAAGCAACGAAATGGAGGCAGCAGTTGTGAGGCAGCATGCACGCCAGCTGGTCGAAGCGGGAATCAAACCCGAGGACATCGCGGTTGTCACGCCTTACAATGCCCAGGTGAGAAGTGCTTGCGAATGAGTGCCCTCCCAGCCATGTCACAAAAGAGTTTGCTTGATGGTGCTGACAATAGACAAACCAAGCTCGCGCTGCTGGCGCCATTAAAAGAAGAGCTCCCAGGCATCGAGTTGGGCTCTGTAGACGGCTTCCAAGGCCGTGAGAAGGAGGCTGTCATTGTCAGTCTCGTCCGAAGTAACGGAGAGGGTGAGGTGGGCTTCCTTGCAGAGAAACGAAGACTAAACGGTATGTCCGTCTGCAAAATCTCAAGACTGACGCTATTCATGGACACGTGAGATTGACGACTATCAGTGGCCATGACGCGACCGAAACGTTCTTTGACCGTTGTTGGCGATTCAGAAACAGTCAAAAGGTGAGATTGCAACGACATAGTCTTCCAGCTTGCATGCTTAGCTGCGCGGGCGAGTACCTGCCGAGACGTGGCACAGATCTCCTGAGACAGCCTGCGAAATTGACACGTGAGGGAAAAGGTGAGCTGACTCTTAATTACAGAGGAAGCGCGTTTTTGAGGAGGTGGATAGAGTTCCTGGAAGAGAATGCCGATCTGAGGTATCCAGACGTCTCAGTGCTCCAGGAGGCCTGATCCCTTGTCCGCCCGACTATTGGGACGGACGAGGCGCAGCTGATACGCCAATGGTCTGGTTCGCGCTACGGCCCGCGGGATGATGTTGAGACGATCTAGGAGATCGCAACGACCGGTCGACCCGTAGCATTTCGTCCCCGAGCTCACTCGCTCCAGAGGATCTCATGGATTGAGATGAGCTTTTTATGCCACTTGAACATGTTGGTTCGGGAGCCACCAGTTCGCGCATCATGCATGACACTCGTAGATTTTACGGGCACATCATTCAAGCGAGCTAGCCCGCCGGTTCCCGGAGTCTGGGAGGAAGCCTTTTGATAACGTTGGCGCCGTGCCGATGTGAGTGTCGAGACGGCCGTCACGAAGTTATCGCTTAGAAACTGATCCCAGCTGTGGTACACGACCCCTGGCCTGGATGTTTCAGGTAACATAAGCCTGTGCCACCCTTGCTCTGTGACCTCTGTCCTCGTGGCTGGGCCCGCAGCTTACCTCCTGCCGAATCATATTTTGCCCGACGACCTGAACTTGCATGTCGTCGTTGTTGGACCTGAGGGATGGAGTGGTCGTTGCGTGCTCACAATGGCGGGTGTCAAATTCTCCCTCCGAGTCGCATGTGCTGCGAGGCGTTTGAGCAAGTTTGACGCCGGGCCCGTGTACCTTGGCGCTTTCGAACCTAGGAACAAGCTCGGCGGATAGCTTTGGACCGACGCGAAAGGCGGTCTGTTGTCTATCATGCTTTTCTGCACTGCCCCCTCGACTTCTCTATGCGTCCCAAGATGTGAGCAGCCCCCTTGATAGTGCATAATCAGGAAGCAAAGCTAGTAGAGACGGCGCTGTATTGGGGTGGTGGTGCTGTCAGACTCGCCGTCCGTGAGATTGATTGGCCGCTTCAAGCTCCATTCATAATCTACGAAGCTTCAGTTCCATTCATGCTCAGTTGGCATGCCCTCGACCGGGCCCTCTGGGCCTACCAAATGTTGGCCCTTCACGGGTCAAGGCGATCTTATCATGCCACCCCTCACGATATGATGCTCCCTCCTCATCACCCTAGGCAGATCAAACCGCCCTGTTGCAAGGAGCCGTGGCTCCATGTGTTTGGGTGTCATCGAGACGAGTCCCTGTTGGTTCAGCACATGATGTTGGAACTCTTTGACGACGTCAACGTGTTGTGATTTGGCCTACCACCAGGTTTGACAGCATCTGCTATTTGCTGCCGCAGCACCGTGGTTCAACTAATCGAAGCGGGAACGTGCGACGGCGTGCATCGGATGTCTGAGACATGCACGATGCGGCCAACACAGACCAGTTGAACTGGTCCATCAGGGATGTCTAGTGGCGAGCCGAACAGGAGCCGCAGCAGCTCTGAACCAATGCATTGATCAGCGTTGTGGTGGTGGGCTTTGTACGCAAATAACGCCAGTCTGGGTAAGGTACCTAGTAAAGCAACGACAGGTGTAATCGTGTTGACGCATTGCAAGGCCAGCGTATATGCAGAGCGGTGGCGCCTACCGAGCGACCCACGCGCCACAGGCTGGGGGGTTGCGAGGTCCATCAATGCTTTGCTGCTTGTCAACTAGGTAGTATGGCTAGCATCCGGCAAGGATGCTATCTTGACAATACGATGTGTCTCTGGCTGACTTGTTACTTTTGAGCTCCAGGGGTTAGCTTTCCCTTCGCCATGGCAGAGGACACAGAGGTTCTGTTGAGGAACACGTCCATTGAGCCACCGGCCATCGGCTGTCGAGACAGGACATTGAAGGGCCAACGCACCGCCATCGGTTCTGGACGAACAACGAGGCGGCCGGGGCTGAGGGCTTTGACCACCTGGTCGGCGGATGGATTCGGGGTTTGACGAGGTCACCATGTAACATCGCCAGGTCTGTCAAGGGGGGGGGGAAGCAGGGTTGGAGGATAGATGAGCCTTGGGATTAACTCGATATAGCCACCTACGGGTGGCAGCCACAGAAAAGGGAGACCGAATTGCTATGGTGAATGGTCGATCAGCACGCAAATCCGGCCATCAGGTTGCATCGGGAGAGGGCCACGGGGTCATGGTCTGGGGGGTTGGTTGCCAGTCTTGGCTCGGCTGCAGAGCCAGAGCCAAAGTGGTTTGCGGAGTCGTTCGTACTTGTACAGTTGACAAAGAGCTCTTTTGGCGAGGGCGAGGGTTCCAAATATTGGCGAGTCTGCCCCTGACGCTCTGAGCGCGGTCGTCCCATCAATCGTATATGGCACGCGTGTACCATGTATCCCATGTCAAACCGTGCCGGATCTTCAGCTCCATCTTCTGGGCCTTTGCGTGTTTGGGAACCTGGTATCTATGAGAGGCAAAGATCTAAAGTTCGTTCAGGTGGCTCGCGGGCAGCTCGCTCAAGGAACCACCCCCACTAGCAGTACGCTAGAAGGGCCAGCATCGGAAGAGTGGCCATATGTGGATGGTGCTAGCAAGGCGAGTCCTATGCTTTTGCTCATTGCTGTCAACTGCTCAGCTCGGCTCGGCTCAGCTCAGCCAAAATGCCACGCCAGCCACAAGCGGCGTGTTCCGTGTAGACCATTGATCCGGTGGGCGATGTCTGCGTTAGTGAGAGGTCCATGGCGTTGATGGCTCCTGTCTGCATCGACGGGGAGTTGTGCACATGGTAGCTCTCTCGGGCTCGTCCGGACTGTGCCATTTCGGTTGACAGACACGATTGCGGCAGGTCCGCTTGAGGAAGGGGAGAGGAAGGGGAAAGGAAAGACCCCTGTGACCCCTTCTCCACTTTCGGATGCTGGTGGCGCACCCTCCCCGGTGTTCCCTGCCCTCCCCATGGCCGTGGCTTCCTCCCCCCGGGTGCCTTCCAGGGGAATGACCTTGGGGTGCAGAACCCCGGGAGACACCTCTCCCACCTGACACGGGCCTCTGTGGCGCTCCGAGAGGAAGAGCTCCGGAGAGATTCAATGTTTCCAAGGAAGGAACCTTGTCAACGTCCAGCTCTTTTCTGGACTACTGGCTCCCCCTTCGCTGCTACCAAGTACCAAGTCAGGTGCCTTAACCCCAGGTAGGCATCACTTCATGTAGAATGTCTGCATTGTACAGTTTGTGTCTCGTGGTGCCATGATAATCACTCTCTCGAGATGGCGGCCAGACTCCATGTCGTGTCAAACTCCCGAGAGCATCTCGCCCTGACGCCGCTCTGTCTGTCTCTTCTCACAGGCACCCCAGAAAGACAGACAGTGGGGTGTCGTTGAAACCACAGCATGCCGACCAAGGCAATCCCTCACCCCCCCCTTCATCCAGGGTTCTTGTCTCGCGTCGACTCGCTGCTCCCTCGTCGTCATCCGACCACACCACCGCAAATCCCAGGCGTCTCCAGATCCAATGGACGGGCATGGACAGGTACAGGACTATCCTATCCACCCATCCCATGCCGTCCCATGCCGCAACGTGACGGGGGGAATGGCATGCGCCGATAGCTGTCGAGTAGCTCGACGCCTTGCCCAAGGCGGGATCGTAGGGGGGGGGGTGCGTCAATGGCTTTATGCTAGACATCGACAATGGGCATTTAATAGAAAACCATTGGCGCCAGCGAGTTCCCCTCTTCGATCCACGCGTGGTCCAAGGTCCCGAGCTTCATCTCCATAGCTCTGTCCAGTCGTACCAGTCCTTCCCTGGCCTTTCATGCTGCATAAGGCCGTGTTTCATACCAGCGCTGTGCCTGCTTCCTTCTTTTGTCTGGTTCTGCTCATCACCATCCTCCCCAGCACAAACACACGAGCCGACCTGGTCTCATCGATCTGACTGACCCTGACCAGCGACCCGCAATCCGACCCGGACGTCCCTTCATTTTCTTCATTCTTTGTCCCGTGGCCGCACATCTCTCCCTCTCGCTGTCTCTTTATTCTCTCGTCCTCGAACTCTCTCCGCTCCTTTTTCATTTCATTTCATTTCATTTATTTTCCTCTTCGTCTGTCGTCCCTTGTCTCCGCCAACTCGTCCTCTCCTCCTTCGTACCTACGGTCATCAACCCACTCCCCAAATCTGGCCTATCACCCGGTGTGCATGCACTGCATCAGACGTCAGCTCGGCCAGCCTGTCGCAGACCTGCACCGTTGGCGCCATTCTGATACATGACGCACTGGCAGCTGGGATCTTCCCTCGACACTCCCGCAGCTACCACCTCGGCCCTCTATCCTCCATCTTACCCACACCTCTCTCCTCAGCCGCCTGCGGGCTTGCTTCTCGATCTTGATTGATCAGGGCCACCCTCGCACATCGTGGGCGCCTGTGCTTGTTACCTTTCTGGACTTCTTCGTCTCTGCTCTCTCGCTCTCTCTCGCTCTTTACTCTCACCTCCACTCTCTGCCTCCCCCCCTCTTCCTTGCGTCTTCCTGACGTGTTGCATTGCTGGTCATATGCGCCATGACTTGGGCCGACGACGCATAGATCACGGCCTGGCAGTCCACACTCAACGAGAGTGCCCAACGCGAACAGCGACGGCGCCGATAATTCTTGGCGCCTTTCCCCAGTGAGGCAGCAACTCGCCGACTTCATCTATCAGCATTGCCGCCGCTTCAAGCTGCCTAATTTCTAATATCAACCCAATATGCTCTCTTGGCTGAGGTAGTCGTCACTCATATACCAACGTCATCCATCTTCGGAGCCACGACCCGGGCTGTCCTACAACCTGTACGCCAGTAGTTCCAGCTTGCCTCCCGGTCGTCCAATCGACGCCATGAAAGTGAGCATATTCAAACCCCAACCAGCCGTTGCCGGAGGTCAGGCTGCCTCACGCCCAAAGACCGGTCAATCCATCCGGGGCAAGATCTCTGGCCCCATTCCCATACCAACCCCCACAGACGACGAATTTCCCATGCGCAACCCAGGCACCGGCATTGCCACCCCATTGAGCGCTGAGGACCGGGAGAGGCAGTTGCAAACGGAAGCAGGCCACCAGACGAGCCCGCCGTTTACGCAGCCCGACGCTGTGCCGACCAGAAATACCGACTCGGTAATGGCGCCTTCAGGATCAGGATCTGTGACGGGTTCCGCTTCGGGTTCAGGAACGGGATCAGCACATGCGCACCAAATACCAAGAGGGTCTCCACAATCACAACGAAGAACCAATCCACCGAGCACCTTAAGACACTCAGTTGTCAGCGAAGCAACTGAAAACACGAACAACAGCAAGGATAAGCCGCAGAGGAAAAAGTCAACACTGCGTGGCGCATTCAGCAAGCTCTTTGGGCGAAAAAAGAAGACGACCAGCCTCTCAGCGCCGCCGGAGCGTGCCTCGACCTATGACAGTCCATCTCAGCACCGCAGTGTAAGTTACCAGCATCGCTGGCTAGCCACGAAGAGTAAGAATCTTGCTAATCGTGCCACATAGGACCCATCTGCTCTTGCTCGTGAACCGAAGAAAGAGACAGATGCGAAGCGAGCTGCCTCACTGCCCATTACTGAATATGACAGAGCTCTCCGATCACACTCGGTTGGGCCGAACGACTTTTCAGCTATCGAGAGTGCTCGTAATTCTATGCACGCCGATGCCACCCTCTCCGGAAGGAGGCGGGCGGCAACCGCTACAGGACAGCTGTTCGGGCCACGGGATGGTGAAATTGGTGGGTTATCGCCGCGGCCAGCAAGTACGCACGCTAGGGGGAGCCGGCTGTTCCCCATGGACGAAGATCCCGAAGAAATCGGCCGAGCCATCACCAGCGATGTCGTGGGCAAGCGCCGGTCTAGAAGTCTGAGCGGCATTGCAGGTCCCCAAGATGACCGTGCAGATGTCCGGCGGAGGAGTGATGAGATCCGTTATTGGCGGGAAAGTTATGATCCGGCATTTATGTCGCCAACGTCATCCAACGCACCGGACCATGACAACGACGAGACGGGCACAGCCGGGGCCGCAACACAAGATGCCCCGCCCAAGACTCCCCTTGAACCATTCAACTTTGGCAACATGCCACACCTGAATGCCATGGCTGGCATGAAAATTACGGCTGCAGCTAGCCTTGAAACGAGGATCGATACTCTCGAGGCAAAGATGCGACGGGCTGAAAAGATCATAACCCAGCTCTGCAATTCGGCCCCTGGAACCAGGATACAGCCAGATCAGTTCCACAGGCCACCATCCTCCTTACCGACGCCTAATCGATCGACCACTACGGCCGTCCAAGGCATGCAGTCATCCTCACGACATGGCTCGATGTGCTCGCGGGACTCGCGTGCTTCGTTCCTCGAAGGTGTGCGAGACAACGACAGTGCGACACAGCTCAGTGCCCCTTCCGTAGCAAACAGGCCTACTTCGGATTCGACAATACGCGGTGCCGTCAGCCTTCCCACCATTTCCCAAGGCGTGAGTGGGCCGCTGACTACGGAGCACTATTCCACCCTGCTGAGGCTGTTGGAAGCCGAGAGGGCGTCACGCCACTCACTGGAAGCTCAAGTGCGCATGTTGGCACAAAGACTCGAGGCTGTCGCGGCTTCCACGCCAAAGCAGCGGTGGGCCTCAATGCACGGCGAGCCTCCTCCGACGGCGAGATCCTTTGGTGATGTTTCAGCATTTGATCAGCAAACTCCGGAATACGAGTATGGAAACGGACACAAGAATCAACCATTGATGCCCGAAGACTCGGGGATTGCAACGGGGGGTCTGGCGGGCGTTGACGAGGACGACTACTCGGAAACATATGCCACGCCTCGTGAGGAGCAGTCTCACGGGTACGGTGCGTTTGGGGAAGAGCTGCGCGACGGAGATGGGGACGAGGACGATGAAGACGGCCAGCGCAAGAAGGCTGCCAGGACGCTGTCCCTAAGCCAGTTGACGATGGGCAAGCCTCATCCCAAGGCCGTCATTTAAACGAGCCAATTCATTGGACATGATTTTCAAGCTACTGGAATGTTTGGTATAATTTTCAGGCTCGCGACCAGCTGGCGCAATGGGTTGCGAGATGGTGAAGGCGCAGATGGAGCGGCGTGCCGACAAGAGGATTGTACGATATATGATCATCAGCACGAGCTGGCGGGACGCATCTAGTGATTTTGATAGCATGATTTAGCATTGCGAGAGTGATCTTGGCTTCAGAGCTGTACTGCGCAAGCTGCAGGTTTCTTTGTCCAAATGGAACACAGTATACCCTATATTTACTTGTGCAACTATGACATGGATGAACACGTTTGTCACGACATGTGCAATCGCCGCGGTGTGGTGCATTCAGGACGGCGTCGAAGAGAGTCGAGACGCCAAATGCCAAGCGCACCTTCCTGATAAGCTTAGCGTTTCTGGGTTCAACGCATGCGCCTATTCGCCTAAACGCAGTGCCCCGGGCCCGCCGGGCTGCACCTAGGCACCTACCTGGCTTCAGAGCCCTGGATGCGCGTGCTGACAGATGGAGGAGATTGAGACAGGCAGGGCACGACTCGGCCCCTACGACAGGGAGGGAGCCGCAAACGACAGCACGACAGCGCGCGCCGTGGACCACCAGCCCGTCCGTCTCCCAGCTCGACCCATGACTGCCAACAGCCTACTTATCTAGCTAGGTAGGTCACGAAAATTCCTGACCCTCTCTCTTGCTGGATCCTCCCATTGATCATTTCCTCTCCACAGATACGTGTCACCTAGAGAGCGTCAACTACCCATTGCGACACACATTTTCCTCACCTTCTCGCGCCCGTCTCCCAGCTATCATGGCCGGCTCCAAACCATCCAGCCCTTTCGGGACCTTCTTGATCGTCGGTTGTACGTGTTTCCGGGCGACCCTTGCGATGTTTGGGCCCTCGTACTGATTTTGCTCCTCGCCACCAGCCGTCTGCTTCTTCCTCGGCATTCTCTTCGCCTCGTTCCCCTACGACTACCCCCTCCTCTGGACTTCGGCCCCGGTCCCCGAAGCCTACTACGCGCAGCTTGAGACGCACCTGCGCTTCATCTACGCCGCGCCCCCGCTCATCGGCCGCCTACTGACGAGCATCATCCTCGTCGGCTTCATCGGCTTCTTCGTCAAGCTCTTCAAGGCCAGCGAGGCCAACGTGCTCTTCGACGGCGCCTCCCTCGTCCTCTACTTCATCGGCGTCGGCGTCTACCTCACCAACATTGTGCGCGGCCTGCGCGCCGTCGGCGAGGGCATCTGGGACGACCCCGACTGGGAAGCCAAGGCCAACGGCAACGCCGGCGAGGGTGACGGCCTCGTCCTCGGAAAGGAGGACAGCCTCAAGGTCCTGTCCGCGAGCAACACCATCCTCGCCCTCGTCCTCGTCGGCGTCCTCGTGCTGCAGGTCGGACAGGCGTACGCGGAGCGCAAGGAGCGCGAGGAGATTGAGGCCCTCGACAAGAAGGACAAGGAGGCCGCCGCCGCCGCCGCCGCTGGCAAGGGCGGCGCTGCGAACAAGAAGAAGCAGTAATGGGTTTGCTTTGGGATTCTCGGGGGCTCGGTCAGGTCAGTTTCCCTGTTTCGCGCCTCTCATTACGTGGCGGTTTGGCTGGCGGGTTTTCTGGGTTCAGGCAGTCGGCGCCTGGTATTGTGCATCGGGCTGGGGCGAGGACGGAATGACGGCGGTGGCGGACTGAGAAGATAGGGTACGTTCAGGTCATGTCTGCGGGGCTACGGGGCATCAAGGCTTTCCTGCTCAGTCGGTGTCCCCGACTGTGCACCGAGTCAAGGGGTTGGTTGTGGCGCATTTGATATCACGTATCCTCATGAATCACGATCCGACAATTGTACTTTTGAACAAGAAGTTTAGCATGTACATGGTGTGTTCTTGTGCAAATATCAGGCTACACTGTCTGCCTCTTCCAGACCAGCATGGCTCCTAAACCTGACGCTCAGGACATGAGACTGGGGCGTTCGCATGGTGTTACTCGGCATTACGAAGCCTCCCCTGCCGGAGGACGTTCATTCTTGCCTTGTGGTGGCGCCTCTACTGATGCCGGTGCGTTGCTCGCGGCCCCGGCATCCTGCCCGGAAGCGTGCACTGATGAAGACGGCATGCTGTCCGTAATGTCGGCCTTGACTTCTTTCGACAGCGGTGGAGGTGATTGCTGCTTGATTTCTAGGCCCTCAGGCGCGCCGACTGGTCGAAGTTACTTTTGTCGTGTTCTTCAGCGAGGCTGGCTTGCTTCACTCACTGTTGTTTGGTCGTCCACTGTTTGTAGCCATGATTAGGTGGATTTCTGGCAGGCGATATGACTTTGGGGTACGAGTGGACTTCTTTTCAGAACTCTTCGTAGATCCGGATATCCGAATTGTGTTCGAAGTTCGTTAGGCAGCGTAGGTGTACACGATGACGATGTCGAGCCTCACTATGAACCTGTATCGGAGGGGGTGCACCAGCCACGCTCTCGTCGACGTCACGACTCCACCACAGCTTCAGCCACATTTCGGATTTCATTTCGCGACACGCGTGTTCTGTGACACCGGGACTGGCTTCATTAACTGGACGGACTATGCGTTATCGAGAGCGCGACTGGCGAGTTCTTTCAGTTTGAGAGATTGGAAATTGGACGAGAAGAATCCCTCATCTGGAGTCTAATTCATGGCCCAACGGATGGCGTGCGGTCCCTCATTCTCTTCCCTGATATTTTCCCCCTAAGGGGCTACCACCCTTTTTCAAGATTCCCCGCCTCTACTTTTGTATTCCCCATCCCAATAGACAATGTCGTCCTGGCTGAAGCGGTTGGCCGAGAGAGCCTCGTCTGCGGGGTTGTCTGATGCCGCCCGCCTCTCTACGACGAATCGCGCCGGTGCATTCAACCCGTCACCTCTGAGTAGGTTCACAGTTTACGGTGCCGGGAACAAGGTATGAGATGCTCACTGGCTGGCCTTCTCCACACATGCTTCCTACGACGTGCTCACACAAACAGCATGACCTCGTCGAAAAGCTCGCTCAAGAAGCCGACTCATCCGACCTTCGCCGTACGAAAGGGCAAAACGCCGTTGTGATACTCGCGTCGCGCAACCACGCCTCATGGCTGACTGATAAGACCTTCATGGCCAATCTCCTCGAGTCGTTCTCATCCAAATCTGCCAAGGCCGATGGAGATGCGGCGGAGATCAATGTCCTTACCGCCGCTGTCGATGGCCTTTGGCCGGAGTACCCTCTCCTGCCAGCTCGTCACGGTTTCTCCATCATTTCCGGACCGCTCGATCACCTTCTGCCCGGCCTCTGGAGTCAAGTCAATGCATCGCCCGCGCCGGTGAAGGGCCAGCCCGAAAAGGCGGCATTGACCTTCCGCGTCAACAAGGCCGATGCCAACGTGGGCGGCAACGCAACGACTATCACACTGCCTCTCGCCAACACCATCTTCCAAAACAGCCGGCCGTTTACGCTCCTCGCCAGTCGCTGGCGCAGAGAGGGCCCAGGTTCATCCTTGGCCATGTCAGACATGGTCACGGGCTCGAGCCGCGAGGTCGTCTGCACGGGCTCCGACGCCGCAGCAACGACGCCGTGCATTCTCATGAACCCGATCACCGCTCCCCGCACCATCGTCTCGGGCCTCGGCAACATTGTCCGCCAGATCGACATGGACGGCAAGACGGTGCCAGCGTCGCAGGAGCTCGAGGCCGCCGTGACCAAACTCTTCAGCCGCCGGCGCAGGGTTGACGGGCCGCACGCCCTCCCCAAGGGCCCGCTGGGCGTCTGGGCACTCGTCTCGCCGCCCGAGATCGGAAGAGACGTTGTGAAGAGCGTGGACCAGACGTCGGTGGACGAAATCAGCGAAGACGCGAGCCTCCAGGACGAACTCAGGGCGGCCGGGCGCTGGGACCGATTCGGCCCGGGGCTCGCCCTCGGACAGCGGATCTTCCAGGTCATCAGCGGCGGCGGCGGCTGGGGCAAGAAGCAGGGTCTGCTGTCGCTCGACACCGAGACGCAATTCTCGCTGACGGGCGAGGAGGACCTCGAGTCGTTCATCCGCTCCTTCCATGGCCAGAAGGGGGGCGATGGCGAGGACGCACCTCTCGACTCTGGCGTCGTGGCCCCAGGCTCCACCATCCAGTTCTTCACCACTGCGGTCGGAGAGCTGCCTGAGCCTCGCCAGGCCGACTTTTCGCTGGCGGAACACATATGCGGCGAGCTCGACGCGTTTGGTGTGTCGAAACATATTCACGAGAAGCCCAAGGTGGGGCTCGGTGGTGTGTCTTGGACCATCTTGCCTGGAAAGTTCGGTGCGGTGTCGTCAGAGTGCATGTATGTCTACAACATGGATGCTGCAGGACCGCAGAATGGCGAGATGGGGCGACTACAAACGAAGGTCAATATCCCCGAGTCATACATCTCAACGAGGCCTATTCCAGGAGGGGACGACCACACAGGTAGGTAGCCGGACGATTGATACTAGACGTCATCCGGGGTTCGGCATGCTTATAACGCTGCCTTCTTACTTGGTATTCAGAACGCACCGAGTCTAAATGTAAATCTAGCTTTTTATGCTAGCGAAAGCTCATTTGTATGATAGCTGTAGATGGAATGATATTTTGGCGGAACTTGGTGACTACTGACAAGCAGGTCTATCTGCACGTACTGTGAGCAAAATCGTGTGAGGCACACATGCGAGCTAAAAGACCAACCACGACCTTGACTACCGGGATATTATACCAGGATATTATATTGACGAGTCTCCTCTCTCGGACTCGATATAATTAATATTGGCGACCCACATAGTGAAGAAGCAAAATGTGAAAGCCTTAGCTCTCTGTATCAGTAGTAGCATCGACATAATGCCTCTTGAAAGCCGCCATGTCATCCTCTCTCTCCAAGTTCTTTGTGACAACATTCGTAATACCGCGATTTCTGATTGTTTTTGCTGGAGGAGCATCCGATCTACATGTATAGCGTAACTTCCGATGTCTGAGCCGGCCCGGCATTCCCTAACCTTTCTGTTACATCACTCAATCATATCCATATCATCAACAGCAGCAGGAGCGGCCGTCTTCTCAGCAGCGCCAGTCTCGGCAGGGCCAGCTGAGCCCCCGCCAAAGTAATCCGCCATCTCGTCGTCGAGCTCCTCTGCCGTCTTCTTGGGCCGGCCGCCCCTTGTGCGTTCGGGACCGCGGCTTCCCTGCTGGTCCCTACCCTCCTCTCTGCGAGCACCGGGACGGCGTCCACCGCCGCCGCCGCCGCGTCGTCTGGGCATAGGGCTACGGGAGCGCCTGCCAGGAACATAGCGATCAATGCCCTTAGTAACAGCGTCATCGAGGTCCTGGTTGCGGGACGGCGAGAGAGATCGGGACCGACCGGACGGCACTGAGATGCGGTCAGCGAGGGGACGGCCCGGCATCACGGCAGTGTCGAAGGGGTTGCGTCCGCCACGGGGGCGCGAGTCACGTCCGTTGGGCACAATTGAGAGTCGGATCGGTTGGCCTGTGAAGTTGTCAGTCGTCCATGTCGTTACGCCAATGAGTTGCGAGCCATGGACGAACCATTGGCGTTGGCACCATCGAACTCCCGAATCGCCTGCCGGGCATCGTCAGGGTGCTCATAAGTGACATATGCAACGCCCTCAGATCGACCCGCGCGGTCGTAGCGAAGATTCAGCCTGACGACAGGCCCAATCCTATTGAACAAGCCCTTCGCTTCTTGTTAGCGCATGCGCGAAACATCAGCTGTTTGCGTATTCCCACCTCAAGCTCCTCAGTTGTGAGTTCGTAGTGGAGGTTTTCGACTTTCAGCTTCGATGAAGTAGGGTCACTGTAGTTCCGGTGGTCAGCCAGACGTCAACTTTACTCCGTTGGTGGACGTACGGGTGTTCTGGAGACTCTCGGCGGTTGTGAGGCGCAGAACGTCGGGGGTCTGAAAGGCGTCGTTAGGACTTGGCAATCGACAGAGGTAGTGATCAGGGATGTTGTACTGTAGTCTTCTTCGTAACGGTCATGAACCCATTCGCTAAGGTTTGCGGTTAGCGATTGATCTGTGTCGGGGCGAAGACAGCTGTACAACTTACCTGTCAAGGTGGCGCGAGTCGTCGCGGTAAGACTGAGCGGCGTAGAAACATCGGTTAGCCAGGTCTCGTCATGCAACAATGGCTGTGTTCGGCGACCAGTGAGGGATTGGCTACACAGGGATGGTCGCGAGCCACGCGTATTGTCGCGCTCGAAGAGAGGGGGAGGGAGGGAGGGCAACCTATTCGATGTACCGTTAGCTAGAGAAACCTCAATTGATGAGCGGCGCCTCTGGGAAATAGTCACCTTTTTGACACCGTCACGAGGGTAGTCGTAACGCTCGTCGCGCCTGTAGGACCGGCCACCTCCATCACGACCGCCGTCACGACCGCCATCCCGGCCACCATCTCGGCCGCCATCTCGGCCGCCATCGCGGTGACCGCCTCCGCCACCTCGTCGGCGGTTGCGAGGTTGATCGCTCTTCTATATCTGAGTTAGCAGGGTTGACTAACTGCCGCGCAAGGTTGCCGCCAAGCTACCTTCTCCGCAAGGATCTCGTCCAAGCTGCGATCCATGTTGGCCGACATGATTTCTAGAGCGAACACGGCTTGGAGCAGACTTGTCGATGTGCCAGAGGTAACGTCTATACCAGAAAGCTATGCAGTGACGAAGCGGGAGTTATTGCGGTTGTAGTGTTGGTTGCAATTGACGTCGAAGCCGGCGCGTGTCAAGGAAGCTTAGCTGGTGCTAGAGGCTGGAGCTTCACCGGAGTCGAGAACCATGTGTTCGATAAGCCTTGCCGTTTCGTCGTGGAGCTTATCGTACCTTGATGCCCCACCTATTGCATACGCCTCGACGTCTGTCACCCCCAGACAGCTTGCAAGGCTCCGCTGGAGAAACCGCACTCGCGCAGCGACTTCCTCATTATTTCGGCGACTTCGATGGTTGAAGCATAATCGCCGAAAGTTGTGGAAGCCTCAGACGATTCGAGGCCAATTGCAGGCCCATCGTTGGGGTATCCATTTCAATTTTCTTTTGAAGCTGCTAGACGGGAAGGGGACTGGAAGCCTCGCCCTCGATCGCTTTCCTAGTCAGTGGCGGATGCACTCATCAGCCTGAGACCGTTCGAACAAGGTCATGGCTGCATCAAGTGATGAAGCTAACGTACCGCTATTCATCGGCATCAGTTGGCATTATCTCTGATTCGTCTGGATCCCCACTGTCGACTTGTCGCAGAGTACAGTTCTCACCTGTGTGTTCGCTTCTATGGGCTGAACATTGACTCAACCTGCGCTCAGCTGATCTCACAAAATGCAGGCCAGCTAATAGACATGTGAATCCGCTGCCTTCCCACCAACCAAACACTATCACTGTCCCACCCCCCCCCCCCTCAGCGTCCTAATACAGCCCATATTGTCCAATATCTGCAGGCGTTATCCTGTGCGCGGTTCAATCCGTCGTTGAGCCCAATCAGGCTGTTATTTCTGAATAGCCTAGGACATGAGTCTTCCCCTCCTTCGTGTTGATCATTGGAGTCATGCTTGTCCCGACCATTCGTACTCAGCAGAGATGCATTACTCGTCAAATCGCTATGTCTGGCCAAAGCTGGAGAATCTTTCTTATTCGTAAAAACGGTTCCTATTTTGCGGCTGCCCATCTTTGAGCCAGATTCACATGGCCGTCATAATACACAACACCTGGCTGTTCCAGTTGCTTGCTCGTACAGCACTTTTTTCCCTTAGGCATCTCCACATTTCAAGCAAGTCAAGCTTGGGCGGAACCTAGTCTTTATCTTGACGAGCCCAGCAAGACCAATCTTGATGGTGCGAAAGCCTCAGAGCCACGCGATTCGAGATCAAATGATGCCCTAGAAGGACTTGTGCGTGCTGATAGTGCCAACTCTGGCGGGGGTGACGGTTCGCCGCCCCGACCTTCAATTTGGACTGGTCATGCTCCCTGGATACGCATATTAGCTTGGGTGTTTGATCGAACTATGTTTGCCAGGCACTGGGTGATGCCAGGGCAGGCAGACCAAGAAACGAACGCCGTGGACGAGAACAAATTAGGTTATGGGCAACTGGTTCCATTGATGCTTCTTAGGCTTCTTGCCATGAGTCTGGCTGATCCATACGCTACCCAGCCACATTCTATTATCAATTCTTCGGCGCCATTTGCGCTCGTTGAGAACGAAATTGAGAACGAAATGAACAACAGCCGTCACGACAGGTCACACAGTCGACCTAAGGATGGTGGAGAGTTACCGAGAGGTTAGTACCACTGGTAGAGAAGTGGATTCAAGCAAGAGTTACAAGGGCAACGCCCATCGGACTATCAGAGGATGCAGTTGTGACGGTTAACATTCCATTTTTCTCGCCTCGTGATGATGTACCTACACCTAGGAACACCTCACGAGGAATAGGGAGAGCCTGGACTCTAGTTGGCCCGTTTTGATACATTTCCCCGGAGGCATACCCCGATATTTGACCAGATTATCTTGGGTAAGGCACCTACCTAGTTTCCACCGATCAGGTATATTGGCCCTTGCTACCATGCTAGCGCGGAGATGAATACGAAGGGGCTTCCGTAGACAGTGCCCAGTGAGGAATGCAGCAGCCTAGACGTCTATTCCAGCATCGACGTGTAGAATATTTGAGTCTCTACCCCCACATGCTCATGATGCAAGTGGTGTATGATGGTGACGAGGCCGAGCTCAAGGATAGCATTGAAGTTGTTAACAGTCGGGATTGGCAACAGGAGGTGGCACAGAGCTCCAGTATGTGATAAGTCATGTAACCTCACAGGCAGGTACAGTGCATACCTGTGGCTAAGTACCTCTTTAGGCCGGTGGCTCGAAAAGCTTGACCTCAGCCGCCAATCACAAGCCAGACAGTCTGGCCCATGATTGATCCAATAGCAACGCTTGACTCGCCTGGGGCCCCCTGAAAGTGGGAGTCGAGTGCGCTGGCCTCCAATTCGAGTATGCTAGGCCTTGCCTGTCTGTCCTCACGTACACGCGCGGCCTTCCAAGAGAGAGACATTCAATTCTCCCAAAAGTCACTTCCATATCTTCTGTCACGATCCCTTCCTTGTCCCCCCCGGCCTTTTCGGTGACGACACTGCATCGGCGACGACTCGGCCCACAGTTGCAACACGCGGCATTACACTCTCTGCAACCGCCTCCGACAACTCTGACCCTCCGACACCAAGCCTCCCGAACGCCTGTAGCTGCATCCCCAAGCTTTATGATTTCCGTATCGTCAGCCCCCGCGTGAGAGACCGCACCATGGCGCGACCCATGGGGTCAGTCCGTCTGAAGAAGGCCAACCCCATCACCCTTCTTCTCGGTGCAATCCTCAGCATCTTCGTCATTGGCTTCCTCGTCCTGCCCATTGGGTCTTCGTCCTCCGACTCGGACTCCAAGAAACCCGCCAGCCCGGCCGTCCACCACCTCTCCCCACCGACAGCCCCCTACCGCAAGGTCGCCGAGGCAGACAGGAAACCGCCGCCTGTCGTTCGCTATGACCTCAACAATGTCACCATCACGAGCGACCCCATCGGCAACCGAGAGTCCATCCTCATCCTGACGCCCATGGTGCGCTTCTACCAAGAGTACTGGAACAACCTCCTGCGCCTCGACTATCCCCATGATCTCATCACGCTGGGCTTCATCCTGCCCAAGACCAAGGAGGGCAATGCCGCGACGACGGCGCTGCAGGAGCAGATCACCCGCACGCAGAAGCGCGGCCCCGAAAAGGATCGTTTCAAGAGCATCGTCATCCTGCGCCAGGATTTCGAGCCAGCCATCACGTCGCAGGACGAGAGCGAGCGCCACAAGATGCAGAACCAGAAGGGCCGCCGCGCCGTCATGTCCAAGGCGCGCAACTCGCTCCTCTTCACGACGCTCGGGCCCCAGACGTCCTGGGTGCTCTGGCTCGACGCCGACATCATCGAGACACCGCCAACTCTGATCCAGGACCTGGCCCGCCACGACAAGCCCGTCATCGTCCCGAACTGCTTCCAGAAGTACGTGAACGCCGAGACGAAGAAGACGGAGGAGCGGGCCTACGACTTCAACAGCTGGCAGGACAGCGAGATTGCGCAGAAGCTGGGTGCCGAGATGGGCCGCGACGATATCCTGCTCGAGGGGTACAAGGACATGCCGACGTACCGCTCGCTGATGGCGTACATGGGACAGGAGGGCAAGGATGAGCATTATGAGATTATGCTGGATGGCGTTGGCGGCACGGCGTTGCTCGTCAAGGCTGATGTGCACCGGGACGGCGCCATGTTCCCGCCTTTCGCCTTTTATCATTTGATTGAGACGGAAGGCTTCGCGAAGATGGCCAAGAGGTTAGGATGGCAGCCATACGGTCTGCCCAACTACAAGGTGCGTATCTCATGTCGTGACTCTCCCTGATGCCGTGGCTGACGAGCACCCAGGTGTACCACTACAACGAGTAGGGCGTTCTTGAAAAGCTGGTATACCAGCATGCATTTCCACCGATGGCATCTTCGCCATATTCCGTCATGACAGGGAATGATACGGCTCGAAGGCCATGGCCTTCACTTTACTCGCCACAGAACTCATAGTAGACTCGTTGAGTTTATTCCCTGCCATAATCTATGGTCACTTGTAGCATTGGCCTAAAGGCCCAAAAAGCGGAGGGGTTGGCGTTTAGTTATTGTAGTATATCCGCATCACTCAGTCTGGAGGGGGGTTACATGGGGTTCAAGATCGGCCGGCCACACGCGCGAAAGAGAGCGGGCCTCCCCCTTTCCACATGTAAAGAAAAACATTCGCCAAAAACAGGACCAGGAGGTCAAGGCTGGTCGGATCTTCTTGTGTGCAATTTGCTGCCAAAGCATTTTGGTATCATACTTTGCTTCTTGCGGAAAGCTTCCTCAGAGACCAGGGAGTGAGACACGATGTCAATGCAATTTTTTTTGTTTTTCGGCACCGCGTGATTCGCACTGATGGCATCTCGTTTGTGCACTGGCTGATTGTATTTCATGAAATCGTTACACGACCTGTTGTCAGTGCAAGCCAAAATTGAACCTCCAAACGCCCATTATACATCGGCGATTTAAGCCCTTTCCCTTGGCCCATCAGCCTCGTCATCCAGCGCCAAGCGTCCTGTCCCCGTCCCGTCCCGTCCCATCTCGACTCTCTGCCCAACAGGCATGTCTTATGTACCGTTATACCGGCCCCCCTCTTCGCCGATCCAGTATTCCACCAGCCCCTTTGCACCGACCGCGTCCCCTGCCCTCAGCAGAGCCGCGACGTCGACGTTCAACGGGCTGTCCACGCCCGGGTAGCCCAGCAGCGTCCGTACAGCCCTCACGCTCTCGAGCACGCTATATGCCGGCGTCCACGCATCCTTCAGCAGGTCGAGGCAGATCTCGCCCGAGTCCAGAGCAACATTGGCGTGCACAATGGGCGTCACGAAGCGGATCGTTGGCGGGCGGAGGGGATACGTCGTTGGGACCTCAATGGAGAGTAGCCAGCGTCCATCTGAACACACACCCACATACGTTAGCAATCGCCCATAGCCCGACGTGCGCGCCCTCTCGACCTTCCCGCCAGCCCCCTCGAGACCGCGTCGACCAGAAAAAGGTTGCGAAGAGGATAGCAAAAACAAGGGACAGCAAACAAGCAGCAGCACGTACCGTCGTAACCTCCCCCGATTCCCCGCCCGTTGATCACGGCCTCCCAGTGCAGCAGGTCCTCGTCCCCGACGGGCCCCAGTCTCTCGACGCCCCGCTCGTCGACCTGCTCGCGCCGCCAGACGTCCAGTTCCTTGAGCAGGCGGCGCGTGGCATTCCTGTGTGTGGCCGCCGCGGAACCCTTCTCGGGTAAGTCCTGAATCTTCCACGACATTGGGAAGGGGGGTGGGTGGTAGTGGTGATGGGGAAGCTGGGACCGTCGCTCGCCTCGTCACGGAAGAGGTTGTGTCCTGTCCCTAGGTAAGTGAACAAGATTTTCAAGATTTCGGGATGGGCCCAGTGTCGTTTCGTGTGATCGTAGGAGCTTATGGCGACGAGTATGAATTGTTGATGTTGATCGGGATCTTTAAAAGCTTAGGCTGTCCGAGCTCCAGAGCGGGCGCCGCAGCCCATTCACATCCGAGTACATGTGCTCTGTCCCGTCCAGTGGGGCCCGAGCTTGGGGGTCCTGAACCGAGGCACTTTAACACCGGGGGCCTACGTCTAACGAGCACATCTTGCACGACATCGCAGGGTGGCCAGAAAAGGATGAAAAAAGCACAGCTTCGTTATTGATTGTTATGTTCATTAATATTTGTCTACGTGAGAGTCTGTGCCCCTGTCCATCATCTAAGCGGCCGACCTTCGACCGTGCGGAAATGTCCGGTCTCGACACATCGAGTGCTTCTACATCTCCTCTCACCCTTCCCATCCCCAGTTCCCCTCCCCAATGCCCTTCCCCAAAAAAGCCCGCCATCAGTAAAACTGTATGTTCGGTGAAAGAAAAAGTAATGCGCAGAGACCCGTCGTCTCTCTGCCACTGTTCTCCAACTTGCCCCAGCCTAGTCAATTAACCGGGGAGAGACGCCATGAGTCCCCGGGCTACTGCTGCTCATGCTGGCGTGAACGCCGCCTTCTCGGCCATCCACAAATAGGATTCAAGGATGATTTGGCCTTGCTCAGTGAAAGCGTCGCGCCGAAGCCAGATCATCCACTGCTAACGATCTGGTGGGAAGCTGGATGAAGTACGCCATGTTGAATTCCGCCCTGGGAAATCGGAAGCTGAAAGTGTACAAGTGATCCATATACAATTTTGATCAAGATGCTTCAATATGGCCCAGGGTGTAAGTCGGTCACTGCAAGAGAAGCGATCGTCGACGCTTGACCCGACCAAGGGGCGTGCGAGTGCCGAGCGCCCTACGTCTCAGACTCGTCCTTGGCCTTCCAGAACTGGACCATTCGACTGAGACGCTTGGCTCGGCTAACTTTTTGCTTCTTTTCCGCTTCGCTGTCAACTGGAACCTCCTCGGAAAGCTTGCTCCGCTCGCCATGGGAGCTACTGATCAGCCTGCTGAGACTTGCCAGGCTCGATCGACGACGGCCGAATGCTGCTGATGACACCGAAACCGGTCGTTGGTCAGGCCGGAAAGGCATCTGGGCACGCGGTTGAGGCATCGGCACAAATGTGCTATCCCTGGTCATAGTCGAGGTGCTCGACGTTAGCGAAGGCGGAATGTCGACAGAGCATCTGAGCTCTGGGCCAGGTTCCCCGAGAAGTAACGACTGAAATGTGTTCTCCTCGTTCACCGAAGATGGTGCTGTGGATATGCGTTGGGCATCGTAAGACATCGGCGACCGCGGAGAAGGGAAAGAGGACCCATGGCTCATTGAGTAAGGGCTTATGGGAATGTTGGATGGAGTGGCCAGGTGCAGAGGGCTGACCTCTACTGGTGCCAAATCGGTGTGGCCCAGGGCATGCCTTGGCGAAGGCGTCGCAGACCCAGTTGAATCGGACGTCTCCTGCAACACAGCTGCGGAACGGAAGTCGACGTTACGGGGCTCCTCAACGATGACCTGCTCGTGAAGGGAGTTCATCGATCGCTCGGATTTCATGCTGGCTGCATGTCTCGTCCGGCCAAATTCTTCATCTTGCACAGCAAGTGCGTCCATCAGTGGGTTCTTCTGGACAATGATGGCGGGAGGAGTCTCGTCGTCGCTGCAGGTCTCGGCAGCATCGCTCCTGTTATCCTTCAATGAGTCTTTGCTGGTGGGTAGAGACGACGTTGTCTTGCCGTCTTCGCTATCATCATCGTCGTCCTCCTCTTCATCCTCCTCAAAGACGTCCGCCATGGTGGAGCTGCTGCCGAATCTATTGATGCCGAAGCGGCTTGCCTCAAAGGGAACCATCTCGGGGGCACTCTCGGCTCTGCGATGGTAATGCATTCCCGGGCCGCTGAAACCCTTCATGCCCTGGGCACTATGAAGTTGACGCTTCGCGGAGCCTGCAGCCTTCTGTGCTGCATCCCATTCCGCGCTGTGGGGAACAGGCGTATTGAATGGACCGAGCGCAGCATCCAAGTCAATCATTGAAAAGGCCGCATCGTCCTCGGGTGTCGAGACCGAGCGAGGCTTCCAAGGATGAGCAGTCTGGTTCGGACTCGACGAGTCGGTAATGGTTACCGTGGGCGTCACAGGCGAGGCAACTGTTTCCACAGCGGATTCGTCTTGTCGGTATTCAAGCTCAGGCTCGCTGTGGGTAGAAAGTTGATCAGGCAGACAATCCGTCTCGCCCTTCTTGTCCCTGGGTTTGGACTTGGGCTTCAAAATGGACCCGGCCCAGGCTTTGACTTTCTTCTTCTTCTTCTTGGACTTCTTTGACGGCTTCTTCGAGGCAGTGGGTACAGGCCCATCAGTCTCCGGTGCAACGTTAAGTACCTGGTCGGAAGAGTTGGGGCTCGCGTCTGCTGTGGCTGGGACATGTTCTTGCTCTCGAGGACTGACTGGCACCAAGCGGGTCGGGGAATGGGCGCCGACAAATGGATCTAGACCAAAGAAAGACCATCGTTTCGGGGTCTTCGTAGGACTTGGCTGAGAAGGAATGTTGATGGCCGGGTCGGGGACGTGCGTCAGGGTTGGAATGGAGTTCCGCCTGCGAGGGGAGCTACCACTGTGGTTAACGGATTGAATGCTTTGAGACCGTTCCAATATAGCACCGGCAGTGCTAGGCCTGGATTCCTGTGAAGGAAGTGAACGTGTCCTACGGGGCTCGACAGGCGCCACAATAGCAGGCTCTTTTTCTAGCACAGGCTCATCGTTCATGGAAATAATCGATGAGATGCTACCCGAAACAGAGTGGCCTCCCGGTCGCGCAGTGGCGGTGCTCGACGCGTCGCTAGAGACCAAAGAGAGGGGGCGGGGAATGAATTCCAGGGTGTCTGAGAATCCGACCCGTGCACGCGGGACTGGCCTTGAAGCCCGTGGTGTTGTCTGAACTGGGAGCTCAGGAGCTGCTAGCTCGCTTTCCACAGGGGTGCCCGAAGTAGACGGCTCAGTCGTTAGAGTCGCGGGCACAGGCAGTTGTACTGGGGACATCTCTGGCGACTCTCCCGGGCGGCGGCCAAAGTCTGCCGGGCTGTTGGGCGCGCTGCTGCCCCGGAGGGCATTGGCGGGCTTGGGAGGCTGAAGGATAAGGGTGAGGTCATGACTGGAGATGGCAGCTGAGCGGCGATGTGCGTGTCCACGTCGGCGGCCACCCGCTGGGGGCTCGCCAAGCTGTGGTGGCTGAAAGGCAGGAGAGGCGAAGCCGCTCTCCGACTTCGTCGGGCTGGTGCTCATGACGGCAATGGACCCCCCTGAACGAATATTACCACCCACGAACTCACTTCCTCCTCGCCGGTGGCCATGTCCGCCAGGCTTTGATGGCGACGGGATCTGTCGAGGCGACAAAGGCGACATGGGAGGACTCAGTAGTGATACATTGTTGTCTGCTGCCATGGAGGCACCCGGGTTGAAGCTGAAGTCAGGCAGTGCTGGGGAGCGTCTGGGTCTGTCGGCGCTCTGGGGGCTGTTGTCGTTGAAAGCAGAGCGACTTGGGCTTTCAATCGCAGACTGCGGCCTCCGGCCCGAGGCTCGAGAGTATGAAGAAGGAGCGGAGGAGGAGCCCGGCCGGGCTGGGAAAATGAAGGGGGGGTTCGGGGGTGGCATGTTTCGAGGGGAGGTTTGGTCTTCGTCCAGAGCGGACTGCGAATGCGTGAGGTCTTCCATAGGAAGCATTGAAGGCAAGCGCTGGGAGGCTGTCTGGTCGAATTCAAAGGAGTTGAGCGTTGTGACAGTTGCATCGATTGCCCTTTCGGGACCGAAAGCAGTTGCCATCATGATCCAACCGCTCTTCGGCACCTTGGACGTCGAGCGACTTAGGCGGACATGAGCGGAGGTCGGACACCGATAACAAGTCGGTTACAAGCTCGCGGGGAGGTTCGAAACGTCTATCGAGTGGCTATGTGAGGCTGCTTCCTGGCAGGTCGACTGCAATTTGTACTGACTTTGTCGGGAGGAGAAGGGATCGCTCCAGTTCAGAGGGGTTTGAAGCACCTGGTGAGGCAAATTGCCCGTCAGCATACACATACAGTCAGATAGTCACAAGGTGACACAACGAGGTAAGCAAAGGAAGACATACGCACAGGAATGCGGTGATGTACAGTGTCGTCGACGGCAAGGGTGATGGATGGATGGCGTAGGAGCAAATTCACGGTCTGATGTTGGGATGGACCGTTGCTTCGATCGCCTAAGTGTGCAGGCGAGCAAGACAGAAAGACGAAAATGCTGAGTATCAAGAATAAGACAGTTTGCTTGTACTGGGTTAAAGGAATGGACGGTCCGCAAGCAAAAATCTGACGACTTTGCGGGACCTCGAAGACAACGAATTGATGCGATTGTTGCTTCGGACGATGGTGGTGTTGGGTTGGAGATGGTGGGTGAGACGAGACCAGCGGCGTGCGAATGGAGGAGACCTGGAGCGTGAGGAGGGAATTGGGTATTGGCAGGAGCCAGCGTTGGAACTGTGGGGACAGCAACCGCGCGACCGTGACCGTGACCATCCTGGACCATGTCCACACCCAGGCAAAGCAGGCAACAGAAGTAGGTTCCTGGGTGGGTCTCACCCATTACCCCTGCAGCCACGCCCGCACTGCCCACTGCCCATTGCCCACTGCCAGCATCCACTGCCCACACCCTCTTGAGGGCCCCTGTCCACTGCCAGGAGGGGCTTGGACAGGGTTATCGAAGCAGGAGGGAAGCAGGGACGGAGGTACTCGCGTCCAATGTACCCCCCTTACCCATTTGGGACAGCTACTCTGGCACTTCTGCACCTTTTCAAGCTGGAGGCGGCCACACTTGGTGCTAGGGGCCTGTGACTGGCCAGCCTGCACGGCTTCGTCTCTTCCCAGTGCATACCATTTGGACTGAACCGGCAAGATGAAATCTTTGTTGCTGTGTAATATGCATTGATGAATCGACGCATCACCCGCTAGATGCTGACACTGAAGAAGACGTCGTGGGCGATTCAACACATTATTGCGGTGTCCTGACGAGGCAGCCTTACAGAAAGCTGTCATGTTCCAGAACCTACAAACCACCCCTGCTATGTACTGGGCAATCTCGAGCGTGACGGAGACGTGTGAGGCACGAAATGCCCACACCTCACCGTCAGAGGGAGAACTCGCACAATCCGCTCCGAATGATGAGGCATGACCAGGCTTGGAGGGAGACAACACACAGCCATATTCAATACTCATTTCATGATGCCAACCGAAACATCTGCACCAACCACAATGCAGCAGATGCTGCCCGCCACGGCCTCTCGTGCTGAAGACTTGCGCGTATTTAACCCCCAAAGTTGGTTCCTGTTGTCAGGCTGTACTAACTACCACATTCACAATAACTGATCGTCGTTAGTACGAGACGAACAAGATACTAACACTACGCAGCCGCCTCTCAGCCGCCTCCCTCAACCGCAAACACGGCCGCCATCGGCCTAGCCGCACACCGTCTGCCACTAAAAGCAGGACTCGGTTGATGTGGCATCAAGCGATCCATAAGCCACCCAAGCGACGGGCCCGGCCTCGGCCAAACACCTCTATGGTATTTCAAGTACAGATTGAAGTTCAGGCTGGATGGCGCGACGATGGGGGAGGAAAAAGGACGGTACCAAAAGGCCGAGTCGTCTCGTTGGCGGTCTATCTCGCCTCCCCAATATCCCAGCGTCCCGCTGTCTACAATGTGCCTCCAGCGCCAAGCTCACTAAACTTGCGTGCAGGAGGCGTCTTCATCTCCCTGTCGGCGGGGCCAGCCTTTGATCGCAATGTCCTGCTCCCGCAATCGCCGACGATGAGCGAGATCTCGCGGTCATGTTTCTTGCTTCTGTCTGCTGCAGACGTGACCCGCTCATTTCAGAACAAAGCCACGTCGAAGTTCTGGAGAAGGAAACCAACATTGCCTTCATCTTCTTTTTGCACCAATCCGGCCTCCCTTTGCAATGCAGTGGTATTAACGCAGATGAGTTACAGCAAAACTGGTTGCCAGAGTGGCCGCTCGCGTCAGGGAAAATCCTCGCGGCCAGCGCCGTCCACAGGGGGCTTCGTGGTTGCAGTACGAAGGGCAGGGTCATCTCCTAGACTGCAGTGGTAGTCCGAAATTGTGCTTTCAGTGCACTGGGAGCCTACTGAACTTTTACCCATCAGCGCACCCGGTTCGCTAACTGAACAGAGGCGGCGGCGCCTTGGGCGGGTTTGAGGTGCAGCCCGCGGCACCCCGGTCAACGCGCGTGCAGGGACGTAATCGGGGCTTATTCGATCACCTGTGGAGGGACTTGATCACGAAGTACCTGATCAAAACAGGACCTAGGCAGGTACCCTTCCCGTATTTGATCCCTTTGGTCTACAGGGCGTGGGGAGATCCCTGATGCCTAGCGTATCAACACACAAGGTGCTGTAAGGGAGGAAGTGAGCCCAGCGCGCTCTGTTCGCACGCGGACCAAGAACATAGGTATGCGCGGGAGTCGTAATACGGGCTGCGGCCCCGAGTTCATTCCCGTCACTAGGTCGAAACCGAGGCTAGAATTGAGCCCGAGTGCCAGTTGTATCTGCACTTGGGGATGCGACAAGTGCAGGCGCGCATACAGACGGGGACGCTGGCATTGACAAGTCACGCCTGTGCTCCCGCGGCTGGGTGCCACAACGGGAGCTGTCAACGAACGTAGACATGCCCGACTCAGCCCATCACCCTCAATTGTTTCAAGAGGCTCAAACCTACCCATTTTGGAGACATACTTTGTCGTGTTCAATTTGCACAACATGATATATGCCAACGGTGGCCCCTCTGCCCTGGAGCGTGCGCGCTGATGTGGCCTTTACTCCTTGAGCCCCCTCCCCTTCGGATGGACATGGGGGCTGTCAACAACGTTCCGCTCCTCTCCCATTTGGGCAGATGAACTGTCGGACCTGCAGAGGCGCCTGCAGGGTTGCCAAGTGAGCCTGCGGGGTGGCAACTGGCTGGCCCATACTACAGCGCACAAATGCCCAAGCACCTTAGGTACCTAGTCAATGGAAGCCTAGGGAGGGGGCGATCAACTGTTTTCCTGCTGCAACACAGTGACAATGGTTGGCAGCCCAACGGCCAACAGGGAAGAAACGTCGGTGCTGATGCAAAGAAAACCGCCCGTGCCCTACGCTTGCATCTCATCTTGCATTTGTCTGGAGCGGGTTGTTTGCTGCCGGCCGAACCGTCCCATCACTGCCTTCTTCAGGGAATCCAAAAGAGGCCGTTGCGGAGTCGAAACATCAGAGATCTGCCTTGGGGCTCCTGTGATTTACTTTCCCCTCCTTGGCGCGCCCTCACGGAATCTCCACCACCAGGGTCTCTGCTGCTGCTCCAATCGTATAGTCCTGGTCCGTCTTCCGAACAAGTTGAAGCCGATGCATGCCAGACGGACGGACGATGTAGGCACGGCGTATTTCGGTTTCGCGAATAAAGAACGCTGATCTGATGGTTCTTTCCAGGCGTCTATCCACCCACGGCCCCCTTCTTTTTTCCAAACGTGGAGATCTGAATCTGACCATCTGACGTGCCCCATTCTAATAATAATTTGCGTTTGACCTTGGCCTCACACGAGCAACGAATCAGACAGGCCCGCTCTCTGCTTTTCGACGACTCCTTGCGTGGACCAGCCTCGGGACAATCTCGCGTGTTCGGCTACCCAAATGAACAGGAGGCCGCTTTCAGCAGGACCCCACGCCCAGCTCAATCAAATGAATCACGGCCAAGGGATGAGTCGGCCCCATGTGCCATCAATCTTGGGGCCGCGATACTGGAAAAGGGATAATTATCGTATTTCCATTGCTGCATCGAGGGACATGAACGTGATCAACGCGACTCCATTTTCGCGCATCTCCAGCGCCGTCACCCGGTCCTGGTTTGCTGACGAACTTTGCGTGACATATTGTTTTTGTTTGCATAGCAAATTGGTGTGAATGATGCTTAATTTGCGTTTCGCGGGACCCGGATCCCTCCCATCGTTATAGGTGACGCACATAGGGGCCCGGCAGCTTGGGAGGACAGCTGTCGTCATTTCCGCCGTGGGGTGTGCCACCCCATAAGACAAGACTAACGGTATATCTCGTTTGCTGTTTCTGCAACGCATTGAGGCTCTGGTGGTTTGCCTGCCTGTGTCAACAGCTCACCGCGCGAGACAGAGATTCTCGGGTGCTGAGTGATGACTCTGACGGAGCTCGAGCGTCTATCAGCTTCCGTGGTTGCAGATTCTGTGCAACAGCACAAACGCGGGGTGCATGCTGCATTCTTTCTGGCAGATGGACATCGTCCCTTGTCCTTCCGTCTGTACGATTGTGCATCCTGTGGCCTCCTTCGAAGCCCGCGGGGAAGAGCTAAGGTGAGGACTAGGTACAAAGAAAAAACCGTTGGTGCACAGAATGTGTCATCCCACCATGCTCTCGACGCCTTGCATTGACGGAGCCCCTGACGTCACGACAGACATAACACACGGTACGGCGGAAGTGAAACATTGAGGTGTCTTGCGATGAGAAGCCGTTGGTGCCGGCGCCTGGGATGGCATTTGAAATCTGACAACGATCGAGACACTCAATACTCATCGGGCTCGCCAGCGGGCTGGTGGATACAAATTACAGATTTCGGGTTCAGGAACCGACATGGAGAATGTGGGGGTGGGAAGAGGGGCGGAAATCAGACCCTGATTTCACCAGCCACATTGGAAGAAATTTGGTGGATCACACAGCCACTTTCTGTGGGTTTTTGCCGAACTGAGCAGACGGGTCTGATCAGTGACTGACAGGACTGGGCGGAGAGGGGAAGGGCCCTGCTCCGTCCAGAGTGGGGTTGATTTTCCCCCTCAGCCTTGCATGGCCGCCTCGCGCTTTGCGATCCGAATTTTTTTTTGGGAAGGAGTGATTCTCTAGTCCCAGCTGTCGCCTCGCCTGCCTGCCTCACCCTTTGCACACGACGAGCGCGCCGACTCTACTGCAACCCTCCAACCCTCGACCATATAGTCGTTGCTTTTGAAATCACAACAAAATGTCTACAACTGAAGCCGCTCAGGCGGTGGCGCCTGCCGCGACCAAACAACAGGGCATGCGTGTCAACGGCAAGCACTGGCTGCCGCCCAAGGCAGCGTTCCGCCCCACTGGCGGCCTCACCTCGTTCGAGAAGCGCCGACAGGAGCGCGAGGCAATGAAGGCAACAAAGGCGAAGGAGAAGGAGATGAAGGACGAGAAGGAGGCTCTGCGCCAGGTAGGCCGACACTGGTGTTGTGCTGGGTCGTCGTAGGGGGTTAGTGACAGCCGCTGACATACTCACAGCAAAAGGTTCAGGCAATCAAGGACAAGCGGGCAGCCAAGGAGGAGAAGGAGCGGTACGAGAAGATGGCGGAGAAGATGCACAAGAAGCGTGTCGAGAGGTTGAAGAGGAAGGAGAAGAGGAACAAGCTCATCAACTCGTGAAGGTGTGGTCCGACTGCATGAAATGCATAGGTGTATAGGGGCATTGAGAGACAGTGCTGTACAGAATCTCGACATTGCATACGATTCTGATTTGGGGGAGGGGGAGGGGATTCGTCGGAAGGTATGCGGCGAACACACCCAACACCTGCTGCGGCACCTTGAGAGGATCAGACTCCCGCCGAGACACAATCCTCATCTCGTGGAAGGGGACCCCAGATTTCTGGAAAGGGATCGCACTGTTCGTCAGAGGATGTCTGCGATTCGAGGGTCGACAAGCTGGGATAGGGAAAAGGAAACACATTCGGCGTCATCTGGGAAAATTGATAGTCGAGCAGAAACCTCAAGCCGGATGAGGGGAATCGTTCAAAGCATATCAGGGATAGAGGATGGCGTTCATGATTCAGCATGCAACTTTCGAATTCCAAATTCCAAACTCCAAACTTCAAACTTCGCACAATCAAACATCAAATGAACCGTCTCAGCTTCATCCTCCCTGAAATCCAGTCGCCTCTGGACTGCTCCCCGGTTCTCAGCTTAAGCAAACCGGAGCTTCGTCCGGGTTTCAACATGAGACTGGTCCGAGCCCTTCCCGTCCTCGTAATTTTGTGATGGGTGCACCTGTGGTGAAGGTTCAGGTGTAACCGGGTTCACAGCACATCCCTACAGCGCTGAGCGGCAGCAACAGCCTGGAAGAAGGTACGTCACTGCACTGGCCACAGAAACCACCCCACAACGCGCAAACTCTCTTCGACTTGCCCGTCCCTCCGAGCCAGTGCCAAACCAGCAACCAAGGAACCAAGCAACCCAGGTTCCACGCAATCCGACTCGCCTGATGTCACAACACGAGCGAGGTGCGACCCGACGACACTATGGCTAGCGACTCGCCGCCTCTGCTCCACCAGCAGCAGCAGCAGCAGCCACTGCCGCAATCGTCGTCCAAACCGTCGCGCGCTCGACACCAGCTCACCCGCTCCATCACCGAGTTCGCGCCACCCGTCAAGCTGCTACATCACCATCACCACCAAGGGCATCACCACAGCAGACACCATAGCCGCCAGAAATCGACGCAAGTCGCGAGCGACGATCGTGCGCCCCAGTCTGCCGGCCCCTTGCTGTCGAACCGGGGGCGACCGTCGCTCGACGTCTCGAGGGCCGAGACTGGCACGACACCGGGCAGGGGCGTGAGTCCCGAGCCCGGACGGAGGGACGGCATGCTTGCTACCCCAGAAGTAAGGCGGGACGTGGAGAAGGAAGTCAAAGAGCAGAACGAGAAGGCCGAGGCCCGTGTTAAGTATGTTTTTGTCACTGCGGCGTGGTGCTCTGTTACAGTATGGTCGGTTTTGCTGATGTTTTTTCGTGGTTTACAGTGGCTTGAAGAAGTCTCTCGCCGACTTGAGCGGTTTCTCGAACACTACGACACGGCAGCTCGACGAGACGTACTATGCCGTCTTGGAGAAGACAAGCGCTCTGCAGGTCACGGTCACGGCCATGAGGGAGCTGGCGACACTCTCGCGTGAGATCAAGGGTGTATTTGAGACGGAGTCACAGGAAATGGTGCGCGATGTGCAGGCTCAGGTGGACTCGCTCGGCCAGTTCGAGGAGCAGAAAAAGCGCATCGTAGATCTCCAAGGGCGAATCGAGGCTGGGAGAAACAAGATCCAGGCCCTCAGCGGCCGCGTCGACGTGGTCAAGGAGAGGATCGAGGGGTGGGAAAAGGCCGACCGCGAGTGGCAGGAGAAAACACGGAAAAGGTTGAAAAGCCTGTGGATTGTCATGTCCATCGTTTTCGCTCTGTTGGTATTGCTCTTGGTTGGAGCAAAATACGCTGCACCTGACACTATGGCGGTCGGCAAGCACTCACTGTCAGGGGATAACGCCAACAATAGCAATTATGCTGGTGCTGAGGGGTCTGATGAGGAGCCTGGCCTGGGATTGTGGGAAAAGAGGACGGAGGTACAAGAGGACCGCCTTCACTTCTTGGACGAGCTGTAGTTACATGGTGGAGTCTGTTTTCGTTTCGTGGACTGGTTTTTTTTATTCTTTTGTTGTATTACGACGACGCAACATCTCGAGGGCAGGACATCGTCTGCCACAGCGAGAAATGATACCCCATGGTCTTTCTTGAAGCTTGCAAGTAACTTTCGCGTGACAGAGGATGGCCGCGTTTCATGGCGAGAGCCGTGTGGTCCGGTCCGACCTGCGCGGCTACCTAGGTGGAGCGGACGTTGACCGGAGCTAACTCTAGGCATTCCATCGCATGAAGAGGTGATCTTGTAGGACGGAATTAGCGCTCGGCAGTCCCTGATAGTGCTGCTTTGCAGGTGTGCTACAGCTGTTGCCAAGCAATCCTAGCTCAGCCGAAGCCAGCACAGAAACATAACCGGGCCGAGGCCTCACAGTCTGCCCCTGGATCTCTCCCGCGGTGAACGACGGGTTCCGTTGGAGAGACTCCTGCACATGCAGGCATCGTCTGCGTGTAGACGCCTTGGAGCTAGCGCTTATACCAACCCACCATTCCGAGATTCCAGTCGCACTCCGTGGTTTACACCTTGGCTGTGGGTGTTGCGTGCTTCCATCAGTCATCAGACTTGGCCGGCGGATGTAGCGGTACGCCATTCATTATACTTCGGACTTGTCCGCCAGGCCTGGCTCCACCTTTGACGGTGCCAGCGTCAAGAGGATTGCGCGTCTCGCAACTTGGCGAGACGAGGCTGGTGCCGAGTGCGCGGGTGGCAGAGCTTTGGGTTTTCACTGCACTGAACTAAGGCTTGGCCGATACGAGGGCGATGCGAGCCGAGCAACAGGGAATAGATCTGGCGCGTTCCTGGTCCAATTTCTCTCGATGGATGGGTGTTTTTTGGAGGGCAACGTCATGCCCAGGCTCTCTCAGAGTCAGCAAGTGGTCCTTGGGGCTTGTGACTGTCAACGTGGTCACCCGCGCCACGCCATGGGTTGTGTCTCGGGGCTCACGAGCATCTCGTGTGTAGCTGTGCACGATATGGTTTGTTCTAGTGTGCAAACTGCAAACCTTTGCAAATAGAATGTAAGTTGTGTCTGCCGAATGAGAGCGGAATGATGTGAAGATAGCCAGCAGGCAGAGTCTTCTGGCTAAGGTACCTACCTACCTGAGGTACCTACCTACCTTACCTAGGTACCTCAGAGTGGCCATCCCAGGCCTGGCTGGCTGGACCTTTCTCTCTCTGACTCGCTGAAGGGTTCCCCACTAGATTCGCGTCCCTTCCTCCCCCCTTCGCTGCACTCAGCCCGGAAACTGCTACCCCGCCATCCATGCGACACGCACCTCCAGCGTCTTACCGCCCTAAATATGACCTATGACATATGACGCTCGGCCACTGTGCTGCGCAAAACGGACTTCACCTCAGGTAAAGGTTGCCTACCTCCCCTTGCCTGTCTGGCTTTGCCTAAAACCTTCCGCCCACCTACCGTCTACCGTCTGCGTCAATACCTGTTCGTCTCCATCATCACAGTCTTGAGAGGCGACTCAATCTGCTTTTCTTGCGATTACGACGGGTGTTTGCTTACGCTGTTGCGAGTCATATAGATTGCGCTCACATACATCCATTCCCCCACCTCTCAGTACCGGTACGTGCAATAGAAATCTAACACCGCCAGAAGTATATTCACCGCACCCGAGCAATCTCGCCGACAGTACGGACTTGGATTCGACTCTTTGGATAGCATACAAACGACGAAGCGCGTTTCAATCAGCGATCAATTTCCCACAAACACGCACAGCCGCCGGCGATGGCTTCGAAAGTCCCTGTACCGCCGACCAACGGCGACGCTGTGGCCCCCGGGACTGGCGCTGGCGCTGAGCTCCCCAACAGCTCTACGACCAGCCTCCAATCCTATAAAGCCCCGCCTTCTGGTCAGACCCTGACCGGCAAGCAAGAGCACTGTGCGCGACCACCCCTCCGATAACTCGATGGCAGTTTGAAACCAGAAGAGACAAAAGAGCTAATGAGTTTGTTGTAGACCTCAAGCGCGAACTTATATCGGACCAGGTCAAGTACGAAATCTCGGAACTGAATTCCCCAACCGCCCTCAAGCGTTTCGGTGCCCCCTTCAAATCCGATTACGGCGAGGTCTCGCCTCTCGAATCCGAGCTGCCAATCCTGCGTTACATATTTGTCCACCATGTTCGCGACTTTCCTTTCCTTGACAAGGCGAGGGAAAAGGAGTTTTGGCAGGATAAGTTGCAAGTGGTAAGTGCTGCACATTACCACCGTCTCGCACTGGCGCGTACTGACGCTTCGTTCTCCGCAGTTCCTCGAGTCTTTCGCCATGAAGAACATATCCTCCTCCGAAGATCGCCTCGAAGAAACCAAGCGCCGCAAGCTGGCTCTGAAAAGCCAGAAACTCGTTGAGTTGATGATGGTTTCAGGAGTCAAGACCTCCTCAGGGTTCGAAGAGCGCATTCGGTTTTCGGAAATTGAAGTTGTCGACAGCAACGCCATTGATACGGGTGTCCTGCATACCTTGCCGGAAGGGAACTACATCAATGGCTGGGATGTGAATGTTGCTGGTGTTCATATCACTCAGGTGAAGAAGACCATTAGACATCACAAGCATGCAGTAAGTTAAAGCCGTGTCTGTTTTTGAATGACCGGGAGCTGATGAAGACAAAGGAATTCTTGCTGCGTATCAAGAGGAAGGGGGAGCTTGAGTTCTTCGTTGGCCGCCGCTATGGTGACTTTAGCAGGTTGTATAAGAGACTTCGGATTGAACTGCCAGGCAAGGTTCTTCCTACATTGCCGAAGAAGAACAAGTCCGACACAACGACGAGTAGTATTTTCTCATCCATGACCAGCAGTAGCAAGGATGATGATGCATCGTCCTTTTCGTCAGTTTCCACTCAGATGACGAACCTCAAAGTGGGAGATGCCAGTGGCCAGAACCTTACGGTCCATGGTATGTACCTTCATCTTGCTCCGTGTCATCTACCATGCTGACTTTGTTGCGAAACAGGCCACCGACGTCCAGGTTCCATTGCATCAACCGGACGCGGCTCACCACGCACTTCGACCGACGATAGGGCCAGGGCTCTGCTCGGCAAAAAGAGTGACACAGTCACTTTGTGGAGAGAATCACAGCGAGTCTCTTTGCGGGCATTCATCCGCTCCTTGCTCGCAAATCCCCAGATCGCTCAGACGAAGGCAATGGAAGATTTCCTGACCAAGGACCAAATCACGCCAACCGATGAAGATGTGGACGATATCATGCGCCGAAAGGCCCTTGATGAGCAACGCATGGAGGAACAGAAGAAATTCTACGAAATCGCCAGGAAACGCGCGGCGGAACTTGACATCTACATGGAAGAGTAAGTCAACAAAAGAAACGTTTCTGACCTATGCTAACGAGACTTGTCAGATTCCGACGTGAGATCGTGGAGCGTAACGGTTTGACCACGCTCTTCAAAGAAATCAGGGAGAAGGAGACCATCGGCGACCTGAGCATCCAATACCGCAAATTTGCCGAGTGGCTTAGGATCGAGATTGCGGCTACCATCTATCATCTCTTCCTAGCCGAGGACAATTCGCCCGAACTCTTCGCACAGGCGAAGCGCATCCACTCGCTCATTCCGTATACAGTCATGAAGAACGTCATCAGGATAGCGAACCCGGCGGCCGTTATGTCTGGTGTCTTGGATATCTTCCTGGCGCAACCGTTCGGTACCCGGTCGCTGATGCAACGCATCTTTACACTCACTTTGAACGACGGCATTCGAAGTTTCCAGAAGTCTATCGACAGTCTGGCTGCCAAGATCGGCGATCAGGTCCTGGTGGACAAGCTGAAGCGCTACACCGAGTCGGAAGAGCACATCAAGATTGCCATCCGTGAAGAGTCGGTTAACGAAGATATCGACCTCATCGTCGTCATCTTGCGATCTGAGTACCTGGAACCGCAGCTTACGTCCGAGCAGATCGGTCGGTTGTACAATGCCTACGTCGCCTTCAACAACGCGGTCGAGAATGTGGACGAGGAGCTTCGACAGGGTGCTCAGCTTTTCTCCTACCTGAAGCAGCTTCTGAAGCTATTCACACGCCAGCATGATAAGGCCAGGATGCTCCAGCTCATCGAAGAGCCCGTCACTCTTCAACTGTTCAGGGACCTGTTCACCATCTTTTACGAGCCGCTGGTCAGAGTCTACAAGTCTGCTAATGTGTACTCAAGTGTGACGGATTTTGCTGTATTCATTGATGACATGATACAGGTGACAACCATTCTCCGGTGTAACGTCGAGTTGCGATGCTGACAAGATTTACAGGTGGTTGAAAAGTGCCAGGAGCAGGACGCGTCGGCTGATCCCAACCAAACGGTCCAGGGCTTCATCGACCTCTGTGCACGCCACGAGCACAACTTTTACAAGTTTGTTCATGAGGTCCATACGCATGACAACGGCCTGTTCGACCAGCTCATGGGCTGGATCGAGGGCATTCTGGAGTTCCTCCGAACTGGACCCAAGAACGGAACCCTGAACATCAATGCGCTATTCGAGGGCGGCGTCTCCGCTGGCGTGATTGACAAGGAGAAGGTCATTCAAGAGGTCAACGAGCTCATCGCGTGGCAGGAGGCCAGGAAGAAGTGGCACCACGATAAGACGCGACAGAAGATGGCGGCCGAGGGCGGAGGTCAGGGCCAGGCGGACCTCATCCCCGGAGGCGCCTTCAAATCTTCCGACTTTGGGCTCGACCAGATGGATCTTGAGGCCATGGCGTACGACGACGACACGGAGGACGAAGAGGATGCGGAACAGGAGGATCAACTTGACCCTATAGCAGCAGAACGCCAGCGTCGGGCGAAGAGGCGGGACAGGCTGCGACGCAGCGCCGGCGAGCCGACAAAGCCGCATGTGACGGAAGTGCTCAAGCTAAAGGAGAATTTCCTAGTCATGTTGAGAGAGACGCTGGCCGAGTGAGCGGCAAATAGGCAATAGACTCGGGAGGGTTGAATGAGTAATGCAGAATTATATCCAGGCTATCCGGTCTCAACACCAAACAAGCATTCTACAGATGAGCTCGTAAATGCATTCGTGACGCGCTCACTAGACATGTATGTCGAACAATTACAGTAAAAAGGCGATTGAGTAATAGACGCAATATCAGGAGAAACAAGTCGGTAGATATGAATGAGCTCCTGCTTTTGAGGTCCCGGTGAGTTCTCTCGTGGCTCAAACTTCGTCAAATAGACTGAATCCAGCAAGACAACCAATAAGACAAGGCATGCTGCTGCTGACGAGAGGCTCGTGACAGGATTCATCTTCGGACATCAATATGAACACCTTACGCGTCAACATGCCAACAAGAAAAAAGATCAAAAGTCGCCTTGGAGTGAAACCACATTACGTCTAAAAACCTTGATTCTCTTGCTTGTACACTTCAACACCAAACCCAATGCGAAAAACCTAAGGTACACGTGCCCCGCCGGCAGCCCAGGCCCACCACGACAGCCACGTTACGTCCTTCTCTTGCACGCGTCCTCTTCTTTCTCTCATCCTCTGCTTTCTCTCTCTCTCTTGCTCTCGTGGTATCAAGAATGGCCCCCCTAACAGGGTCGGGGATTTCTTAGCCTGTGTCTCAACAGCCTTTCGTGCTTCCTTGCCGACCCATTCGGACGCGACCGCGCGCGTTCCACTTTAGTACACACGCTTGAACGGCGGCACGGCCTTGCACTCGTTCTCGTCGAGCGTCGTGGCGATGACGCGGCGGTAGCCGAGGTCGACCTTGCCGTGGGGCTCCTTCTGGAAGGACAGGGTGTGCTTCATCCAGTTCTCGTCGTCACGGTCGGGGTAGTCCTCGCGAGCGTGGGCGCCACGGGACTCCTTGCGGTTGGCGGCGGAAACGGCGGTTTGCGAGCTACGGTAGAATGTCAGTCAGAATGTTCGAGGTCTTTTCAAGGGCAGGAGATACGTACGCGCAAGTCAGAAGGTTCCTCAGCTCGAGAGTCTCAACAAGGTCGGAGTTCCAGATCATGCTGCGGTCCTTGATGCCGACCTCGGGGAACTGGGCGTCAATGTCCTTCATGAGGCGGACACCCTCGTCCAAGCTCTCCTGTGTCCTGAAGACGGAGACCTCGGTCTGCATCGCCTTCTGCATGGAGAGACGGATCTGGGCGGTTGTCCTGGGACCGTCCGAGTTGCGGACCTGGTCGAGGACCTCGATGTGCTCGGCACCAGCATCAGCCTCCATGGGCTTGAGCTTGGTGCCGGGTGTGAAGTTGTCGCGGATGGTGTGGGAGACGGCACGGCCGAATACGACGAGATCGAGGAGCGAGTTGGCACCGAGACGGTTGGCGCCGTGGACCGACACACAGGCAGCTTCACCGCAGGCGAACAGGCCAGGGACGACCTTGTCGTTGCCGGCCTCATCAACGGTGAGGACCTCACCAGTGTACTTGGTAGGGATACCGCCCATGTTGTAGTGGACGGTGGGCAGGACGGGGATGGGCTGCTTGGTGACGTCGACACCGGCGAAGATACCGGCCGTCTCGGAAATACCGGGCAGACGCTCGTGCAGGACGTCGGCGGGCAAGTGGCTGAGCTGCAGGAAAATGTGGTCCTTGTCAGCGCCGACACCACGGCCGTCACGGATCTCCATGGTCATGGAGCGAGACACGACGTCGCGCGAGGCAAGATCCTTGGCGGTGGGAGCATAACGCTCCATGAAGCGCTCACCCTCCGAGTTCAGCAGGTAACCACCCTCACCACGAGCACCCTCGGTGATCAGGCAGCCGGCTCCGTAGATACCGGTAGGGTGGAACTGGACGAACTCGAGATCCTGGTTGGGAAGACCGGCACGGGCAACCATGGCCATACCGTCACCGGTACAGGTGTGGGCGGAAGTGCAGCTGAAGTAGGCGCGGCCGTATCCACCGGTGGCGAGGACGGTGTGGTTGGCGAGGAAGCGGTGCAGAGTGCCGTCCTCCTGGTTGTAGGCCAGGACACCGCGGCACTCACCGTCCTGCATGATCAGGTCGAGGGCGAAGTACTCGATGAAGTAGTTCGTGTTGTGGCGGAGAGACTGGCCGTACAGGGTGTGCAGAAGGGCGTGGCCAGTTCGGTCAGCGGCGGCGCAGCAACGGTAGGCCTGGCCACCCTTGCCGAAGTTCTGGGACTGACCACCGAAAGCACGCTGGTAGCTGCAAATTGTCAGCGCTTCTCGTCGTCTTGCGCCTCTTGTCGGGCGTCTTTTTCTGTTTCACTCACATCTTGCCATCCTCGGTACGCGAGAAGGGGCAGCCGTAGTTCTCAAGCTCGACAATGGACGCGGGAGCTTCCCTCGTCATGTAGTGAATGGCGTCCTGGTCACCGAGCCAATCGGAGCCCTTGACGGTGTCGTACATGTGCCATCTCCAGTCGTCCTCGTGCATATTGCCGAGGGCGGCGTTGATGCCGCCCTGGGCGGCGACGGTGTGGCTTCGGGTAGGGAACAGCTTGGAGATACAGGCTGTGTTGAAGCCAGCCTCGGCGAGACCGAAAGCGGCGCGCAGACCGGAACCACCGGCGCCAACAACGATGGCATCGTACTCGTGGTCCTGGGGAAGAAGAGTCAGCTGTCGTGTCGATGCCGGAACGCGGGTGTTGGGCGATCGAAACATACAATGACGGCGTACTTGTTGCTCACGAAGGGAGATGCCTCCTTGGCGCGCAGAGGGCCATTGGCGAAAACCCGAGCTGTTCACATAAACTTGTTAGTCGGACTTCTGAGCTGCTTCCTGGGCAGTGGGAGGGACATACCGGCAGGCCTTGTGGAGGAGAAGGCTCTCGTCTGAAGTCTGGAGGCGCGCGAAAACTGTACCTCGGGTCAGCGAAAGCCAGAGAAGGTAAGATCTCGTGTCGGGGAACGTACGGAGGGCGCGGTGGCCAGTCTCCTCATTGCCATGGAGGATGCCATGATCGTCAATTGGATGTAGTCTCTGTCCTACGAAGCGGTTGGTGATGAGAATGCTCTGGACAATGATTTCGAGACGTGCATTGGAGGCGAACAGTGGCAGCTCTCGGTCGCCCTCGGCCGGGTTGGCTCGACCCTGCCGACCAATCACAGAATTTGTGATTAGCTCAGTAGCCGGTCCATTGCCGACGCGCCACGTTTGTCGAGCCACTTCCGATGCACATCAGCCACATTCTTCTCGGTCCATGACAACTAGACTTCACATGTTGCCCCTTCCCCCTCCTCTCCTCTCTCCGAAGCAGGATCTCATTTACCCCCTTCTTAGGGTGGTCCACTTGCTATTTTGTCCACACTTGTGTGCACCATCTGAGTCAACAGTGCCTCGTGACTCTCTCTGAATGTCGAATGCCTTGTCTGCCGAGGTACACCCCATCGTTTTGCCCTGCTTCCCTCTAGCCCAAGTGCCTCAGCATACCGTTGTCTCCTATGCCATTGCGAAACCTACGAAACAGACACAGTAATGAACGGCCGCTTTTATCATAGATTTCAGCGTTGCACACGCAATGCAATTGCAGTGCTCTACATTGAAGGATCATCGCCGCCAAGCATAGACCCAAAATCTTGGGCGACCATTGGTGCCACCCATGACTAGCCTGCCAGATTCCTCGTGACCGTGGGTCCCAGATACTGGATCGGTGGCGTCTACATGTGTTCTGCTGACGATTATTACTTGAGCAGACGAATATGAACAGAAAAGTTGACTCGAGGTGTACGACGGCTCTGTGATTCTGAAGCCTGCGATTTTCTATGACACAAAAACGTGGCCTACGGCACCGAAAGGCTTGCAGCATAAGGTACGCCGAGGTGGGCATGCTTAGTCGATGCCCCAAATTATTAGCTACTGAGGCTCGAGGTGTCGAGTGTTGGTCGATCTTTGAGGATGCAAACCACTCGACGCAATCGAGATCAAGCCACCAAGCGACATGAGGTGCATCATTTCTCACGTGTCATACCAGGCTGAGCGAAGCACGAACGGGGTATCATTCATTCATCATATCTCATCTAGTCTGCCTCAGTTACTGTGCCCAGGCACACCGCACCAGCACCAACGCGTCGCCATGGTTCAATGCTGAGCATACAAGTTTTGCAATCCTGCCTTCATATCCGTCAGCGAAGCTCTCATGGCTTTGTTCTTATTCTCCAGCGCCACGATTCTTTCCTGCAGCTGCGCGACCCTCTCGTCCTTGGCTCTCAGCTGGCCCCGGACGGCATCGCGCCCCTTGATCAAGCCGCGCGTGCGCGCAGCGTGTCGGTCGAGTGTGTTTCTGAGCGAAAGCGTGAGGGCGGGGGGTAGATGCTGGTCCCTGAGCAGCGCCATGACCGCTTCCGTGATCTCAATCTCGGCGTCGCTGTGGGTGGCGGGACTACTCTGCAGGGCGTCACGGGTGCGCGAGGTCGCAGGTGTCTGTTGCGGGGTTTCGAGGCCGGGAGACACGGTGCCCAAGTCGTCATTCGACGTTTTGAGGCGCTTGAGCTTGGGGCCTGGGAAGAGAACGCGGGCTGTGGCCGGGGTAGGCATGCCGTTGAGAAGATCCGTGGTACGCTCGGTTGCAGGGGTAAGGAAGCTCTGGGGTTGGAGGTTGTTGCCGCGGAGTTTCTGAGAGCTGCGCGTCACGGCCTCGTTGAGCTGCCGTTCCTCATCGGAGGAGAGGTCGCCGATCAGGTCTTCTTCCTCGTGGACTTGGCTCCTCTGGCGTTTGCTCGCCGTCAATGGTGCCTGCTTGGAGGAAGCAGGGCCGGCAGGCGCATGCACTCCATTGTCCTCCTCAGACGATATGTCAATGGCAGCTCGCACTGCCGCCTTGGCGATCTCGTTTCTGGGTGATTTGGGGAAAAAGTCGCAAATCTTGCTCTTGGGGCTGCGGTCGGCTGGAGCGGTCGAAGGGGGTTCTGCCAGCTCTGGCTGCTTGCCCTTGGGGCGGGTTGAAGACGGTGCAACGGGAGACGGCTCAGTTCGAGGGACAGGGTCTTCGATGGTCGTTACGGTGAGGCCCAGGGTGCGGGCGGCAGCATCATCATCCCAGAGGAAGAAGTCGCAGGCGCGGAGGACGCAGGTCCAGAAGAGCTTGCCCTTATTGGGGCTCTTCTTCTTGACGGGATATTGCTTAGCCTCACAGCGGGGTTCACAGTTGCAGTACCAGATGCCGTCTGCGTAGAGACCACTGAGGCGTTGCTTCCTCGAAGAGGTGTACGGCCTGGCAGAGGACGAGGGTGCTTTGGAAGGGGTGTGGTCGTTTTGCATGAGACGACCACGGGCTCGGGACGATCGGGGTGTTTTGCTGTAAGGCATATCGTTGGAATCGGGGCAGGGCGTATGGATGTGAGGGCTGAGGTGAGATTTAAGCTCAGGGTTGAGGCGCTGCTGTTTGCTCGTGGACGGGGCGGCGGCGGCGGAATTGAGTCGCAGGTGGGGGTGGTTCCACGGCAGGCGACGACCCATGGGCGTCCGGTCTTGCCTCAGCGCATGAGGGCTTGGAACACGCAGACCGTCGTAATTGCGACAGTACTGAAGCGGAACTGGTCAGGACGATAGGACGTGGGAGACGTGGTGAGGTTATACGTTGCTGGTAGAAAGATGGCAGTGAAGTGACGATGAGGGGATAGACGGTGACAAGGGCAGTGTCAGGGCAGGTGAGGTTGACAAGTGAAGTGGAAGTGGATCGATGCGGCAGGGTAGGCGGTTAACTACGGGGCGAGGTGGCTGGGAAACGTTCAAAAGTCCGAGTCTGCCTTGTTGGGTGCTTGGGTGCTTGGGTGCCTGGGTGCCTGCTGGGTGCGGGCTGTTGGAGGCGGGTTGCTGGATGCGGGCTACTGGGCTGCTCGGTTAGCTGTTTGTTAGTGGCCTTCCTCCTGTGAGGTACGTTATTCAGGCACTGAATGTAGGCAGGTGCGACGCTTGCGGACCTCCGTCCTTCACGGTCGGCGGCTGCTGAGTAAGGCAAAGGAAGGGGTCTAGGACCGTGGACCGCAAGGGTGATGCGCCAAGCCTTTCCACTGCCGATTTGTGTCTAGGCCCCTCAGTGGAACTCTGGTGGTACCAATGATGGGCATGAAGAGATGATGAAATCAGTCTCAATTCGATTGCAGCTGCCTCGTCTCATTCTCATTCACCCATCGCGTGGAAGGAGGCTAACTAGCCAAGGCTCGCACGGCTCCTGCTGAGATTCTCCTTGCTTGAAGCTCCAAGCTCCGACCCTGAGCCCACACACCACGAGGTAGGTACCCGGAGCTCCAAGTCACCTTCCCCTCAGCTCCCCCTCGGCATTCGCTATTCGGGATTGCACTTCCATCAAACCGCCATCAACACCATCACGGAATCGGCTTCTGCGTCGTTGTGATACGGACGCCGGTCTCGGTCTCCGTCGCAGCCACCATGCAGAAGGAAGACGAAAGGCAACGGGACGCCCAGCCCGGCGCCGATGCCCGCTCGACTCCAGATCCCGCCCATCCTTCGCTCGACAACCTCACCCCCGAAGAAGCAAACCGCATCATCCACTCTCATCGCAAGGTCCGTTACGGCACCGCGTGCTGGCCATGCCGACAGCGCAAGGTCAAGTGTGACAACCAACAACCATGCGAGAACTGTGTCAAGCGTGACCACCCCCAGCTTTGCTCGTACAAGCCCAATCGCACATCCTCTGGCAAGCTCACAACAACAGCGACGACGACGACGACGACGACAACAACTGCCTCCACTGCCACTGGCGAGAGCTCCAGCACGCGCAAGAGGCCACACTCTCCTGATCCTGCCACTGATGATCCCAGCCGGACACCATCACAGCGCCAGCCGAGTTGGCCACGCGCTTTTGCCAGTGTCGATGAGGCCGAGGCTCCCGAGAGCATCACACGTTATCTCGGTCACAACAGCATCCCTTCACTACTGCGGGAACAATCCTCGTCAGCCGACGTCCACCAGGGCGGCGATATTCGTCAAGACATGCGTTCCATTCTCGGCCTCGACACCTCGGCGCCCTTTCCCCTCATGTCGTCACGCCACCTGGACAGCCTGACGAGAGAAATCTCATCTGAACTGCCCTCCGACCGTGAGGTCATGAAGCTGTTTCGCACCTACAAGGAGACGCCTCAAGCCTTTTGGGGCTTCGTCGTCGACATTGATGATCTTGAATCAAAGCTCATGGTCTATCTCGAGGACAGGGCTCGGAACGCGCGCAACTCAACCAAAACCACGAAACCCGTCTCTGCGTCCTGGCTTGCCATCCTCTTTGCCGTTCTCGCCGTTGGGTCTCAGTACCATGACTCCCCATTTCACATCAGGACAAGGGACTCGCAAAAGTACATTCAAATATCCTTTCATTTCCTCCGTCTTGGCAACTTTCTCCTTCGACCCACGTTTGATTCAATTCAAGCTCTCCTCCTCACCGGCTTCGTCCTGTTGAACGACATGAAGGCCGAAGCGTCCTGGGCTCTGCTCGGGTTGACATGCCGTCTGGCGCAGTCGCTCGGCCTTCACCGGCCTTTCACCCAGGATGATCGGGAAAGCCTGCCGCCTCATCTCAAAACCAGAGAAATGATTCGTCGCAAGCTCTGGTGGACTTGCGTCTGGCATGACACCCTCACCTCTCTCTCCTTCGATCGCTCTCCTATGACCAATTTCCCCTGCTGCCCGATACCCACGGCTTCAGACATTGGTGAAGGGAGTTACACCTACCTTGAAACCATGTATCACTTGTGCGAGATCATCTCACGCCGCCTCAATCCTGACATCACCACCGCCGTGTCCTACGAGCAGATGGTTGACAATTGCCAAGCTGTTGAATCTCTGCGCACCATGATCGCACCCAACATTCAGTTCAAGGACCAATGCAAATCCGTCATCGATCGCCTGCAGTACTACGGCATCCGTCTACACTCTTCCTTCGTCATCTCGGTCTGTTGTCGCCCCGCCCTTCACCGTGACTGCACGCAGTTGAGTCCCGAGCAGAAAAAGTTTCTCTCCGAAAAATGCCAGCATAACCTCATCGAGACGGTACGCATGTTCCTCGCCATGCACCAGCTTTCTGTGATCCCTACACGATCCTGGGCCTATACCTATCATGGTCTCTCCTCTGCCCTCCTTCTCGGCATTCTAGCCGAGACCAAGAATAGTCCCGACGTTCGCCAGCTCCAGGGCGACCTCATTGCTGCTCTTTCAGCCACGGCTGCCAAGGAGACTTCCCCCTCGGCACACATTCCCAAGACGGACAAGGATATTGAGCTTTCTGGGCCTCTCCATCGCGCACTTACGGCCCTGCGCAACATTTACGAGCACGGCTCGGTCGTCGGCTCCTCGGCCAAGCGCGAGTCTGACGCTGGCAGTGGCGTCGCCAGCGGGGCCCGCACGCCGTTGCTATTGCACCAGCCTCCGTTTCCTTCGCAACCTTCCAACGGCAACGCACTCGCGCCGACGACAAATCCGTTAGCGTCGGCGGCTCTGGACCCTCACCAGGATGCCGCACTCGCCATGGCAGAAATGCAGCAGAACGGCACACCCATGCCGAACGACTACACCGCCGGCTTGCCCGGCGTATACCCGCCTCCGCAAGGCCCGGGCTTTGACGGACTCGCGGGAATTGATCCGGCGACGTACATGTCGCCGATGGACCTGTACGAGTCGATCTGGTGGGAGTCGCCGGATCCGTGGAACTCGGGGGTTGATGCGATGAACTTGGACTTTACGGCTCATCCGCCGCCAGGACAGCCGCAGCAGCAGTATTATTTCTAGGTCTTCCCTTACGGATGAGCACGTGGCTTTTCTGGGTAATTTTGGCACGTTTGCGTCCAACAGGTAGCGTCTTTCCTGGGTTTGGCGTTGGGGGTCTGGGCGTAGTATGATCTGGACTCGGCCTGACAGCTGATATGTCAAGCTTTGATATCTCTGATGCCTTTTCTTCGGTGCGTGGTTCGAATCAGGACATCTCACAAGTCAGAGAGATAGATGCCCGTTGTACAAGAGTGGTGCCCCTCTGGTCAGGGAGCATTGCTCAGTCCGGGCGTTGGGAGACTGCACTCCAGTGTTGTCTGGTCGGAATCGTAGTTCAAAAAAAGCTTGGTCTTCAAAGCCTTGCGGGTTCATGAGATGGACTGCTCTTGTATTCTGTCACATCGCATGCAACATGGTGCAAGCCATATATCATCACTGTGTTGCCGTCCTCGTAACCGTAACACGTTGATTGCCATGGGTATATCCTCTTCATTATACACAACGCTTTCGGCGTTCAGACTATCCACAAGCAGCAGGGGGGGGGAAACAACATGCAAGAAAGAAAAAGAATGGGTGACGAGGAGGTCGCCGGGTATGTATGAGCCTCTTGCGAGGCACCATCCTCGTCATGGTATGGTGCGCGGAGAAATCTCCTTTCCCTCGTGTTCGTTTATTCCCTTCCTTCTTCCTTCTTCCTCTCTTCTCCTCTTCTCTTCTCTTCTCGTCTTCCGCCCCCCCCCCGTCCCTGGCCGTGCAGCAAGCAAGCAAACTAGAGGGTATAATTCAAAGCCAGACGCGCAGCACCCCCTCCAAAAAAGCAAGAGAGGAAAAATAAAAATAAAATGGGGGCAGCGTGATGCCTTTCTATGCTGCCGTATCTCTACACCTCGTAGTAGTAATCCTCGTCGAGGCCGGCGCGGCTCGGCACAATGCCGGCGCCGGGCGGGGGCCCCGCGTAGGCGGCCTCGACGCGGACGTTGAGCAGGCGAATCTTGAGGCCGTACTCGCTGACGAGGCCGACGAGCTTGTTCGTCTCGGCCGTGATGGGCGCCTGGTTGAGGAGCATGAGGAGGCCGTCGAGCCACTCGGACGCGGCGCTGTGGTTGACGGGGTGCAGGGCGAGGACGGCCCGCTCGCCGGCGCTCGGGTCCGACGGGTCGGCGAAGCGGAAAATGGTAATCTTGGTCGACGAGCCCGTGAGGCCGGCGGCGGCTGTCGTCGGCGTCGGCGTCGCGTCGCCGTGGCCGTTGACGTGGGTGTGGGTGTGGCTGTGGCCGTTGACGTGGAGGTTCTTGACGGTCGCGGCGCTGGCGGCGTCGTCGGGGGCTGAGACGTTGGAGACGACGGAGGAGATGGTGCCGAGGTCGACTTTTTCAGTCAGCGTGTCGAGGCCTGGCTCTTGCGGGGTGCGCGTCACGAAATCGGCGTAGTGCAGGAAGCGGCGGTTGTGGGAGAGCTTGGCGAAGCGCCAGGGCATGGGCGTGTAGAGCCTGCGGCGCGGGGGCTCGTCGCCGCTCTCGGTAGCGTTGGTGTCGCGGCGCGGCAGGGGCTTGGAGAACCAGGCGCCCTGGAGCAGACAGCGGACGCGCTGCTCCTTGACGAACTGCAGCGCTTCCTGCTTGAGCTCCTCGCGGACCTGGTAGAGGTGCTGGCCCCAGGCGTCCTCGAAGGAGAGCTCGAGGAGCTCCATCTGGAGCTCGCGCAGGCGGGCGCAGTCGTGCTCGGCGAGGTCGTCCTCG